ATATATATATATATATAATATAAGTAATAATAACAACAATTATTGTCGACTTGGATATGTATAATATATTCAGCGCTATCGCTAGTACGCCGTCCCCGGATACCGGATGGATACAATAGTCGTGTATAGGACGTGACGTCGACAGAAATAACAAAACAATATTTGTTTGCAATTAATTTGACTACATATTTTTTCGATCCATAAAATAAAAAATAAATTACGAACACACTTCTTCAGTACTGTACCCGATCGTAATCCCGATCGTTGTGCCGTTGCGGTCTCTTGTTAAACGACTATACCGTCGCGGTGCACACGATGTGTAGGCTCGAGAGAATTCTGATCGATATCTTGAGAGATGACGATTGAACGACAAATCTATCACAGTCATCCTTCCGCCGTCTCTGTTGATTTCACCGGAGATGATCTCCAGTGATGGACTTTCGGCAGGATGGCATCGGGGACATTCGGACTTGCTTGGGCCTCCCACAGGAACCGTATCGCCAAATCTAGTTGAGCGGTTTAAGGGCTCTATTATGTAATCGTATACGGATGACTTTTGTTCGTTTCGGTGTACAATTCGTTGTATTATTTTTAATAATGAAATAAATTTCTAATCGTGAATTTCTCAGTAATCTGTCTGGAAAAGAACAAATATTTCAGACCAATTACAAGCGTTATCGCCGACAAAAAAATGTCGTTTGAAATCAAACTGTATCGCGTACCGTGAATGCTGATTTCGACTTTGGCGATGGTTCACCGTGAAAAGGGCTTACGCGAAGACTTACTATTGCTATTGGGCCGAAAACCTGAGGCGTGTATCCGAGAGGTCATTTACGATTTACGCCGTGGTGCGGCACTCCAGGCGGAATGTTTTCCCGTATTCGTCGCGGCTTGGTGCGACGCCCAGTCCGTCAGGCGCAATTAAAGCCCAAATATAGGGGATGCTAAAATTGCTGAAAACAAAATTAAATGCTGTTTAACTCTAATTACTGTAGCTTATATATATCTGAAGAAAAAAAAACAGGAGTGCTACATTCGAACTCGGGGGTGCTAAAAACCCTATTGCGCCCCCTTTAATTTCGCCCACGGACCATTATCGCACGTACATCAAACGCACGGGGTACATTCGGTTTTCCGTACCATGTGTACATGTCGCTATATTGACAACGCGATCGGTGATCCGCCTACGGCTGTAATAAACGTCAAGCCCCGTACGAGCCCGATAAACTGTATACAAGTAATATTATATACGCGTTACGACCACAAATCCTCTACGAGTGAAATGCAATAACGTTAATTACGTTAACTACTCTTTGGCGCATGCTCACGTAAAACATCCGTGTATGACGTTAAAGATACCGAAAATAGGGTGGGAATTTTAAAAACTAGTCTATTGTAGGGTGCACATTTGTTTTGCTCGTTCCAATTATATTTTAACCCTAATATGGTTTCGTCAACACACGTGCCGGTCAGCATTCCATCTGTATCTGTCACTACCATACGATCATTGTCTTTCATTCGATGCATAGGGCAGATTTTTTCACACTTGAAAAATCACATTTATATGTATATATAGTATAACATATGAGGAATCGCGTTCGATGTCGGTTTCGTTTTGATCAAAATATCGGGATAGACACATTTATTGGTTTTCCAACGCTTGGATATCCATTTCAAAATGTTGACACCAAAGAGTACGTTTCTTGGTCCCTTTTTCGTACAAGATTGATTACCCCAATACAAATTTTCGTCAAGAGATTGGCAAGAACAAGACTGAGAACGACTGCGGTTTTTCGAATTTGGAAGATTTCTAATTTTAAGCTGTTTGAAACTTGATGAGATTAATTGCCCTGCATTTTAATACATATAACATACCTAAAACCTATTTAGACTTAGCATTGACAGCTGTCTTGTTACATGCTAGGTTCTCTGATACGTTGAACCTTCGCCACTTATCTAAGAGCGCAAATGTTTTATCGTCTTATTACATCTTATTAGGAAAATTATGTGTATGTTATTGAAATGAATACAACTACTCGTATATGTATATTTTAATAGCTTATACATTAATTCTAAAGAGTTTGATTGGTATCCTGAATAATGTCAATTACTTGGGGTAAACATGATTACTACCCGGATAGCATTGTGTTTCGCAGTGTCATCATTAATAATGAGTTGTTACGTTGAAGTTCAAACGAACCAAACTAAAACATTGTATTTCCGAAGTGGCGGTCAACTAACGCTGGAATGGTTAATTTGTACGGTAGTTGAATTGATACTAGTTTTCCCGGTCGTGTTTGAACATAAATCCGCTAATCGAATCTATCGAAATCGACATATTATGCAAACCGATGCATATAATAGATAACATTGAATAGGTGATCTATTATACGTGTGTTAATTTAATAAATACCAAAATGTATAATAAACCGATTTCTAGGTAATATTTATATTGCTCGTCAATCAAAACTTACATTAAAGTCGGCATTGATAAAAATATCAAAAAAGCTTCAATGCAGCAGAGAAATTCATTTCACAAGCGTCCAAATGTTTAACATAGATTCGTCTTCTCGCCGTCCACCTGCAAGACACGTAGATACTAGTGCTCTGCTTGGTCCGGTCCGATCTAGTACGGTTCTAACATACAAAAACTATTGAATAATCGGTTTGGTCTGGTTCAATAATTTTTAGGAATATTTCAGTTCAGTTCTCAGATCAAAAACATTATTTTCAGTCCAGCTAGGTTTAAAAAAAAATAAATAAAAAAAAATAATAAAAATAAAAATCAGTCCGGTCCCAATCATGGTGCTTAAAATTTAAATACGGATATTGTGTACAAGTATTGTTATGCAAACAAATAAAACGAAAAAAAACCTACAAATGTAGGTATATATTTATTTATAAAGTCGGATAATCCGGTTCAGTATAATACTAAACGCATCATATGGTACGGTCTGGGCTAATACAGACTGAACCTTACGAACTAGTCCATAAACGGTCTTAAAATAATATGAAGTTATTCTGTCGATTCGGTTTAAGTGTGTTTCGGTCCGACTTCGGTCCCATGATAAAATTTGAAATCCGAACTGGTCCTTTATATAACGGACCGTGTAGACCACTAGTAGATACGTATAGTTTATTACGCAAGTTCTACGAAATTGATATCGTTCTATTCAAAGAACATCACAACGTCAAATATATTTATCGTTATAGTGATTGATTGATGTGGTTTTTAATTTAATTTTATTTTTTTTAAATATTTCCTTGACGTAAAAAACGTATGGTGAATAAAACAGAAAACTACCGTTGGATTCGAGCAAATGATATGCTTTATTAGAGCACACTTTCGTTCGTCACTTTAATCCGAAATCGTTTTAATTCACGTCATTCGATCAATATTTGAACGCACACGAGTCATTAAGTACGCGATAACTAATTATTCAGACGGTGCAACACTTTATTTTCGTAACGATCAAAGTTGTTGTTCCGAAGTACCCGTAAATAGATGATGTAATAATGGGTGGGTATCCGTGGAACGCGCGTACCCGTTACGAACGTTCGCCTATTATAACGGAGTCGTAATGCTTTACGATAATAATGTATCGTCGATGTACATGCGGTTGCAACCGCGTTCGGTATTGTGTAGGTATTCAGTTGTTTTTGGCGTGCGCGGTGCTCTAAACGTGGGTACGGCAATTTAGGACAAATGAACGTAGCCGTTTGGATCTGGGGACAAATGGACATAAAAAAAATAATATATATATAAATCAGTAAATAAAATAAATAAGTTATTTATATTTATTATAATATGTAAATTTTAATGTCAAAAATATTCATTCAAAATACTTCACCATCGTGATGTGAATTAATTATTGACATCTTACATATACACTTGAATGCAATTTGTTCATGACTAACACGGTTATAGATGTGTATTGTTGTGTCAAGTGTATCACCATGTTTCGATAAAGTGTGATAATTATTACAAGTTGTAAAACCAATAAGTTATATATATTGATATAAAAGGTACCTATTGCCAAAACGATAAAATTCGATAAGGTTTGATATTATGATACGATACCATAAGTTATATTATGAACATAAAATATCAATGGTTTTATAACTTATAAATATATATATATTTTTTTTTTTTTTGTTGTTGTACATTTTTCCCCATCTACAGTGGGGCAATTGACATCGAAAGCTGGCAAAAATAGCATTTATCAAATTTTACTTATCTTATCGAATTATTATATCTATCAATAAAAGAGTTCACACTACATTGTTTACTGGTTTTGTGCACGTGTTGTGGTTTAAATTGATTTAGTTACAGCAGTAGTAGTATAAGTCCACCGTGTGTTACAGTATAAAATCTAACAGAATAATATTATTTTAGTTTTTAGTTTTTTTCAATAACTAATATTATTTATTTATTGAATTCAATTTATTATGGAACCACTAGCTACAGGTTAGTTACGTAACGTTTAATACATACGTTTTACCGAGTTATACATATAATATTTACATAAATAATTAATTATAATAATAAAAATATATTTGTATCACAAAAATGATATATATTTTACGTTCACTTCCAAGGATTTCCAAGCTTTAAAAATTACAAAATATAATACTTAATAGAGTATTATATCATCTTGTTAAAAAAAATGTTGCCCATATTTGCTCCATTTCGTGTAAATAGATTCTGACTGTGACGACCTATACCAATTTCAATTGAAAAAAATAGAGCAATAAACGTTAGATATCAGTCCCAAATCTAATAACTGTTATCAAACTTTTTAAACACTTTATATATTCCTCTTTTATGGGAATACAGTACATTTCTTAAAGACCCTTTAAATAATTAGTTACACTAGACCCACCCTCCCTCCAAAAAAAAAATAAAAAAAAAAATAGAGCAATTTTTTCAAGTGAAATTTGTATAGGTCGTCACAGTCAGAATCTATTTACACGAAATGGAGCAAATATGGGCAACATTTTTTTTAACAAGATGATATAATACTCTATTAAGTATTATATTTTGTAATTTTTAAAGCTTGGAAATCCTTGGAAGTGAACGTAAAATATATATCATTTTTGTAATACAAATATATTTTTATTATTATAATTAATTATTTATGTAAATATTATATGTATAACTCGGTAAAACGTATGTATTAAACGTTACGTAACTAACCTGTAGCTAGTGGTTCCATAATAAATTGAATTCAATAAATAAATAATATTAGTTATTGAAAAAAACTAAAAACTAAAATAATATTATTCTGTTAGATTTTATACTGTAACACACGGTGGACTTATACTACTACTGCTGTAACTAAATCAATTTAAACCACAACACGTGCACAAAACCAGTAAACAATGTAGTGTGAACTCTTTTATTGATATATATATAATAATTCGATAAGATAAGTAAAATTTGATAAATGCTATTTTTGCCAGCTTCGGTATCAATTGCTCCACTGTGCCACGTCCAAACGGCTACGTCTATTTTTCCCTATTCGTGGGTGTGGTGGCCGAAATGCTTACCAAAAAATCACTGTACACGTGATGCGCACAATTAAATGGTTTTTGGTCGCCGAATTCGACTTAAATGGATCTATTGTTTAATTTTGCACAGTATAATGACGCTTTAGCAGTGGTTCTAATGTATTACGTGGTTTTGTTAAAAAGAAAAAAAGAAATATTATAAAATCACAGTGCTAACCATCGTACACGTACCGTGCAGGGGTAACATTTAGTAATTATCACGTCCTCGGCAATAGGAAAATAACGAGAGTGATTTTTGGAAAGAAAAATCGAAAATCACCATTTATCTGAAAACGAACAGACAAAAAACTATCGATTTTCGCGTATCAAACGGAGAAACCAACCAGGTAATAATTGCACGCATTGTACAACTATCACGTGCGTCACAATTGTCTTTCATCTTGGCTGTATTCGCTATTATCATTATTATTATTATGAACGAACCGAGCTCGTCTGTGGTAAGCGCGGAGTGAATATTATACCGGTATTCTCCGTGGGTCGACGGAAAATAGGTATATGGAACAGAGAGAGAAAGAGAGAAAGTTACACCAGTTGCGAGAGCAATTCATTAATTTCCATTTCAACCCTACCGACCATCACCGTCGCCACCGTCATTCACCGATTAGACTCAGATGATTCTTCTTCACCATTCCTCGTCCACCAATCCTTCCGTTCCTCACGCACCGATCCTTCCATTGCGCGTCTAAATATCACTCCTTCACCCTACACCGGTTGCCACCAACATACCTCCGTCCTGTCCCGAACGTATGCGATTATTAATGATCTAAAAATGTCACTTTTTGTGTGCACGTGACAGGTACGTCGCTCATCTGTGGAGGCGAGGCAAACGGAAACTGATCAAAAAATATCGAGTGTGGATGCTGCGGCGTCAAACGGAACGAGAGGAGAAAGCACAGCAACGAAGCGCCACCACCGTCGCACTTCTATCACTCAACACCAACAACGACAAAAACGGTAAAGAACTAACGGAAAATAAAACCAAGTCGTCGTCGTCATCGTAGTCTTATCCAGATGTATGCAAATTTTATCAACAATAGTAAGAGATGTTGACGATGACGATGGCGACGACAGTTGGTAGTAATCATTTTAGGTAAAATAGAGTATTTAATATCCTATAAAAGTCTTAAAAATGCCTTTAAAATATGCTTTTATTTTATAAAAATTCTTAACATGCACTAAAATATTTCATTTTTTAATAATTCTAATAATTCGGAATAAATTATATTTTATAAAATTGTAAGTGTAAAAAAGTTTGACTTGGTATAAACCTTAATATTGCGTTACTTCACCGTAATGTACTTTAGCTTTATTGTCTTGTAACTACATATATTTGCATAAAAATCACGCAGGAGTACAAAAATCTGAAATAATTATTGTCTAAACTATTACCTAAATAATTATTATTGAAATAATAATATTTAAAATTTAAATTTTTTTTAGAACTAAAAATGTTAAAAGTACTCTGAAAAAATTATATTTAAATCATAGATTCTCAAAAATAATTTAAAATTCAATATTTATTTTCGTATTCTAATTTAATAGTTCATGAAACAAATTCAAGTTCATACAATTTCCCACAGAAAGCTTTGAAGAATAATGAAAAGTGCATCAAAATTTCAGCCTTAATTATAGCAAGAATATAACGATGTGATATAATAACGATAATGGCGTAACTAAAATGAAGGTCGTTGTATTAATACGTTTTTGACTCCAGGACTCGAGGAAAAATGTCACTCCTCACCTGAATCGTTTCATCTTATATGTATATTTGAATAATTTTTGGATCGTTTTATTTCGATAATAGTATTTTGTGATTAAAAAATATAAACTATCGTTTTACTTGAAAGCAACAGCAATGTAAGTGAACGTTCGAACATTTTTTTCACAACATAATATTTTTTTACAATGGCATCTACTCTATTGGACGAGTAGTATAATAGATCAATATTTTTCGAATACAAATATACTTTGAAAAAAAAAAATAAAAAAGTTATTGGGGTTTTTATAAACTTTTGTTTAACTGCAATTTTTCGTTGGCAACAAAGTATTTTCCAATAGAGTTTTTTTTTTTTTAAATTCCGATCAGTAACAGCACAGAAAATATACACCACCGCCTTGAGGGAAAGGCGAAAGTGCTTTGAAAATAATTGAATTTCAAAAAAAATAAATAAAATACGATAAATACACGTCGTAGACGGTCGCTACCGTATTTACCTAAAATAATACCAAATGAAATGGATTTTTCTACATTTTCATATAAATGTAATCAAATATTTACAATCTAGAAGCCGTTTACTTCGCAACGCCGGTATAAATCAATTAAAATTTAAATCGAATGTTTTCAGTTGTTTACAACAACATTACCGTTATTATCACATATCATTGTCATTATTCATATATTATTATCATATATCATTACAATAACGGTATTTTAGACATATTAGTAGAGATTATAATATGATGTTGGAAAAAAACTTAGTTACGATAAGAATCACAGTTTTGATTATGAACTTCGACTCAAAAATCAAAACAAACTATTACATAAATATTGTCTTAGTTTTTTCGTTTGAAATCAAAAAAAATATAATAATATTAAAATAAATTATTATTACCAACAAATACTGTTCATTCAATAATATAATAAATTGCTGTTTCTTTTATTATAAATACAGTCATTTGTTTCTCAGTTATTCTTAAATTATTACGTTTTGTTAATTGTTAAAAATAATCTCTGCATTAAAAAGGATATTTTTTAGGTATACTTTACTTTATCTCAGGAAAAATTTATAATTTGAATTTTGTTCTTTTGTCTTTTTTTCCGAAGCTTTGTAAAATATTATGATTATACTGTATATATTTGTTATGCTTTTAATTTGTCTGACCCTTTTCTTCTTCTCTGAAATCGCTATGCACTTGTAATTTTTAAATGAAAACCTAAAAATATAAATTAGAAACTCAAAGAGAATATTTCACTAAAATTAAAGGATGAATATATTTTTTACTGTAGATTTTTTAGCACATAAACGGTTTATTTCTACATTTTATAAAAACAGAAATTCAATTTCACGTTTAAAAAAAAAAAATTGTCTGTTCAAATATAAGTTTTTAATAGAATTGATAGATACATTGCAATTTAAAGCGTATACTTTAGTTAGTTTAAAACCGTCGCTAACTGATTAAATCGACTGTCTGCCAAATATATTTCACCGTATTTTCAAAGCTTTAAAAAAAAAACCAAAAATTAAATAAAGAATCTTCTTTTTTAAGTAGCATTTTATTCGTTTATATCTCAATCAATCGACTAGAACTCGCTACTGTTAAACCACTTCTATAAGAAAAGTATAACCCAGAAGAAAAAACATACCATTTTAAAACCAATTCTATAGCCTTTTCAGTATAAAAATACACACAGTCACTTGGACGAAAACTGGTTTTTACTGCGCACGTGTCTCTTCTACCAGGAACGTTGTTGTATGCCGACGCGTTACTACTCTGTTATACGTAGTATTACCACACTATTTTCGTAATGCCACGTTATAGTTCTATTTTGAATAACAAGGTTTTTTTTTTGATAATAATCTATATACAAGGCGGCAATCACCGATTTGATAAACAACGGCTGTCGAACACTGGCAACTAATCATAGAGCGTCTAGATATCGACGGGTATCCGACCATTATCGGCTTCTTGGTAGATATGCGCTAATTTGGGCACTCTTAATCCGAACGCTATAGCTTCATTCGGAACCTAAAAAAAAATAAAACACACTAAATAGGTAGATAAAAATGCGCTCGACATAAATGAGAAAAACGGTCTAATTAAAGTTGTTTCAAACAAATATTGATTTACAGTAAAACTCACTTAAGATGCTCTTTAAGGTACCAGCTCTCTAGAGCGTTTTAAGCGAAAAAGCGTCTTATGCGGAAATGAAAAAAAAATGAAGTGATTGAAATAATATTTCAATCATATAACTCCATATTATGGAGTTAAATTTTTATCATTGAATATAATTTTACAGTCAATACACTAATAAATTATGTATGTATATGTAATTACTAGAAATTTACATGCAATTTAAAATGTTTCAAATGTGATGCAAATATACAAAGAAAAAGTGGCTAAATATGCAATTATATGCATTATGTTACACTTTATAAATTTTTTTTTTTTTTTATTTCATACAAACCACACTTTTATACCAAATAAAATTCTAAATGTTTTATCAAAAACAAAAAAGAATTATAATATTCAATGCTTTATATTTCAAATCATTTAAATCAATCTATAACTTTTAGGAAACTTAAAAACGAGAATACAAATAAAAATAAAAAAATAAAAATAAATATTTTAGATTTTATAAATATTTTAAATCATTTGAAGTTACCTACTCTCAAAAAACTAATAGAAAACTTAAAAAAAATTCAAATTACAAAATTTACTGTAGATTAAAATAGTTAATTTCTTAAAAATCCATTAAATATGCATGTTATATGCACTTATTAACAAATATTCAATAACTTTCGAAATATGCAAAATATGCAATATAAAATTTGGTGTTTAAATTCAGTCTAATATGAATCGTGGACATTTTAAACCTCCTTAGGCGTGTATACACTTAGTACAAACATAAAAATGCATATAAATCCGGACTCTAGTAATTACATACATGTGTACATATATTTTTTGCTACTGAATTTAATTTAAAAAATTACTATTAAATATTTTATTATTGTTTATTAAAAAAATTGATATATTTTTGTTTGTTTACGATGCTGACAATGTATTTCAACAAGAAAGTTTTCTATTTTGTTTAGAAAACCCAACATTTTTTCAAAATTGTTTAAAGAGGACAATACTTTTCAAATTCCTATTAGGTATTGCAGACTAGCAGAAATTGTAAGAGTAGATATTGGATAATAATAATAGGTAATGATAAAATAGGTATAGCGATAAAAAAAACGATACAACAATAAGAACAAGTAAACAAGTAAAATTTCTATTTTTATTTCCACAAACCTACTAAAATTTATCATAATCTGCTAAACAAAAGAGCGTATTATTTAATGAGATAGGGAAATATCGAGCGTTTTAATAGGTGGTTTTTAAATTGACTAGTATAGAAAATGACTAGGGACCGACGGAAAATAGCATCTTATGCAGGAAAGCGTCTTAAGCGAGTTTTACTGTAAATACAAGAGTTTTAATCTGGAAATTAGAATGTTGTGTATTTACTTTATGTGAAATTAAAAGTGTATTTATCAATTTCAAATTTCAAAAATTACCAAATTATATTAATGGAAACATAAAAACAGTTAATTTTATAGAAACAAATGACAACAAACATGGAAATGGTGATGATGAGTCATTTCAACCCATGCTCCGGTTCATGGATAATACTCAAATCGATTCTGTAAGTATTACTAATGAACTAATAATTATTAATCGACGTTATTAATACTATTAACTAGTAATATTCATTATTTTTAATTGCTTTTAAAAAATACAATTTATCATTTTATTCTTATTATAATCATCTAGATAGTTTTCTGATCAATTTATTTAGTTATAAAGCGCAGCTAATTTAGTTATAAATATATATACATACTTATTTATTTTATAGTTGTATTAAATTAAATTACGTATTACTGATGTAATAATTTTTCGTATTTTTTTTATCGGTGTTAAACTTACACCGAATAGTTTGCCATTACATTTATTACGCAACATGTAATTAACTTAGACCTTATAAAAACGCTTCTGTAAAAATGTTTAAAACCATTTTGTTTATTATATATTTAAACAGATACATGAGTAATCTATTATAGTGTAGTATATAGTATATTCTATTACGTTTGAATAATGGAAACGATCATAGGACACTTAACTCGTAAAATGCACTCTAAACGCACTACTCATGCGTATATCACCACTATTTTTTTATTTTTTTTTTTTTTTTGCATAGTAACAATCGTTTTGCCTGCAAGGAAGTGTGTGAAATAATATTAACTGTTTTACGATGGACTTTCTGTTTTAACGACACCGCTACGTTATCTAGATAGCTTTTAGCGCGAAACACAGCACCTAGTATCGGCTTAAACTCAGTAATAACAATAAATGAAGAGTGAACGAGTAACGTTCTACCACGTTAGAGGAACTTAAAGTGTAGACGGTGCAGCGTTACAATTGAAAACCGATTTTGTAACCTATGCGTTGCACGACCGTCCCGCGCGATTAGGCATGCGTCGCCGTCATAACACGCAGTGCGTTTAATAGTTTCGCGAACTCTTCGAAGTGGCATTCGGAGGATATGTCCGGTTAGAGGATACGTCAGGAACCTAGAAGTGTGACGACGATATTCGAAATGAACGCTTTTAAAAAACGCTCGCGGTGTTCGTTGCGTAAACGAATGACCGTCGGCTTACACCTGAGCACAGGGAAACGTGTAAAATCGTTTACCCGTCCGACGTGCGCGAATCGATTTTCAAAATGTGTCGTCGAACGTCGCTTCGAACCCCGCGGAGTACCGTCCTGCGAATGGCCATATAAAATATTCGACGACCGTCCGACCGATTTCAGTCAATGTTTGCGCGCGCGCGTGCGTATGGTAATGGCGAAAAAATGGCTCGACAGCTCGAGGACGACGTTTAACCTACTTCGTGTGACCCTCCCCAAACAGCATCAGAGCGACGCACTTGACCCGAACTCAGTGGATTTTTCTTCTTCTTCTTCTTCTTCTTTTTCTTGTTCTTCTTCGTTATTTTATTTTTTATTTTTCGTTTTCATATAAATTTTTTCCCTCTTTCCTCCTTTTCCAGAGCGGCAACCTTCTAAGCCCCGGGTCGACGTCCAGCAACGGCGGCATCGTGTCGAGGAGACGGAGCGTCGTTGTGGCTTTCAGCGACGAACTAATTACCAGGAGTGGTCCTACTTCTACCGCTACCGCTGCTGCTGCCGCAGCCGCAGCCGCCGCCGCAGCCGCCGCCGCTTCTTCGGCTACGACCACTTGCTCCGCCGCCGCCATCGTCACGACGTTCACCGCGGCCGGCGGTGCAGGCATGGCCACAACGACCACGTGTTACGTTCGCTCGGCCGAGAAGACGACGCAGACGGCCGAAGGGACCACGCCGAATGTCGTCAACCTGTGCGCGTCGACCGGTCCCGCCCTCGTACCGGTAATTGCAGAAGTTTGCAACGCACACGTGCCCTCCACCTTCTCGACCTGTGCACCTCTCCACGGGGGTGGTGCGTTTGCACCTCAACAGGGGGTGATGCCGAACGGGAACCGATTGTCGCGCACGAGCGATTTAACAGTCGTCTTATAATCAGTGCTGCGATAATGTTACCGCCCCCGGGCAAATTAAAATATGCTGCCCTTAAGAAAAATAATATTTTAACCGTCGAAAAATAAAATTGAAAAGATGTTTACACACCTAACGGTGCGATGTGCCGATCACCGATATTAAATGAAACAGTATATTTGTACCTGACTATTTTCGAGGGAAAAAAAACGTACAGGAATAACGAAAATAGTTTACACGATTACAGCACAAGTTCTTAATCCTTATCGCCTTGTGACATGCAGCGGTAGACTGCGGTTTTTTCTTGGTACTTATGAACGAAATAATATATACTATAGTTATAAATTCCTACAAGAAAATTTATAGTCATTTATATTATTTTATTTTATGTTGATCCTCAACAATTTTCGGCCCCGGGGCAAATTCCCCCTTCACCACCATTTAATACGGCTCTGCTTACGATACGTCCCCCATATACGCTTCGTCAGAGCTACGTTTGGCGGTAAACGTTCGTTTTTAATGCGACGGCGATTCGAGCGCGACGTATACATATAAATGTGCTCTGCACCGGACGTACACGGTTTTGGATGTTTCGAAATCTTATTGTAGTTAGCAAGAAAATCGATTTCAAGACATCGCTCGGACCATCGCCGTGTTTCGCTGGTCACGTTATTTTTCACGATCGAAAACCTTTAATCGTTCTCCCGGCGAACACGACGAAATGCGTTCGAATGCTAAATGCGATGTAAAGTTTTTTACCGATTCGGTTAGCGTGCAAGTTTAATTGTGTACGACGTGCAATCATTATGTCCTTCGATGATCAATTGGATGAGCACGCAGTGAGAAAAAAATGTTTTTCAACAGAGCTTTGTGATTGGAGAACAAACGGTATACCACGACTATTCGAGCATCCTACCCCTGAGGATATGCATTTTTATGGTTTATATCACGTGTATGCAGGCGATTCGTTTCCCGTATTTATTTGTTTTCGATGCATTACGATTTCACGTTTTCCATTGCGTAACATTCTAATGCGCTATCCGAACGCGGTGATATCAAACCATTGCCATACACAGCGATTTAAATTATATAATATTGTATTATACAGGCGTATTAACGTTATTTATTAAAAAATAAAATACAAGTGGTATACAAAAAAAAAATCAGTGATAATTGATAAATGATAGATAACAGTGATAAGTGATAACAGTAATAAAACGAAGGAGCACAGCCACACAAGTAACATGGTTATTGGTAGATGATTGCCGGTTGGCATCGAATATGGAATCGTAGAAAAGAGATTATAATGAATAAGCATCATTGTCCATTATAAATAACTATTCTAGCTATAGACGATAGACCTATTAACTTAAGTTCCATGATTCTAGTCGAAATATTTGTAAATCGTAGTGATACGTACGATAAGTGATAAGTCATAAGTCATAATCGTAGGCAGTAGACCGCAATATAATATTATACTAAATTCTATTAATTCTATTTAATTACCTACAGGCTACAAATTACGATTAATTTAAGTTCCTAAACGTTAGTTTCTGTTTCTTTTTACTATGGGTCTACCTAATAATGTCTAATATTATTGATTTTGTATTATTATTACACTCCGGCAGTTATATATTTAACAATTATGTAAACACCATAACATTTTAGTAAAATACTGTATTATACACGTATATTACATGTATAATACACGTATTATACAATTAAAAAATAAAATACGGTATTTTTACACCACTGGCCATACATAATCAGCTATAGAGTTTTCTCGTGTTCTTTCCTAACTAACGTCAGTTTCCGAACAAATTATTAATAAACGATTCGCTGAATGGCTGTTGAATAAAAAATGTATCAATTTTCTGTTCTCCGGGGAAATTTCGGAAGTCATTACAGTATTATACGTTGAACGTTGTTCGACTTTGAAATATTAAAATATTATGGAAATAATATATGATAAGTTTCTTTTTAATATACACATATCTTAAATGTATACACGTATATAATAACAGTTCTATGTAAAGGTTAACCGACATTTTAACTTAAAACGAAACCATTCTTATACGGTACTTTTTTCTTTTTTTTTTAATCGATATCGTTGAAATTAAATATTGTATCAAAGTTAATTTACATTATACCTTCATACACGAAAATCGTACAGTGACATAATTTACACTCTGTATTCTAATCTGAAAAAAACTATCGCAAAAATATATAAACCTTAATACGTTACTCTCATCACCGTGAGCCTAAGATTGAGCAATTCTCCCATGTTAGCATAAATGAAGTATTGATTCCATAATGGCCTTTTAGTTATGTAGTGTATCACACGGGAGACTCATCTCGATCTGACATGGTAGACGTAAATTTAAGTCATCCGTATGGAACGACTTGAACTCGTCCAAAAGTAGTTAGTCTAAACTAGTTAAGTGTGGAGTTTTGCATGAACATTATACGCTGGCCAACCAACAGCATGCATGTTTTTTATGCGTTACATATAGTGCATGCGTGTTCGCGAGTATACATGCGTACGCATTTGTCCATCGTGTTTTAAATTATAACTTAACAATAGTTTTATATTACAATGGTTTAAATAATGATAACTATTTACACGTATTGCATGCAATATCGTTTAACATAAACATTTAACCCGCAGACGCAAGCAAGTGTTCATTACACGGTGATATTCGATGCGAACCGACGGCGGTAAAGACGGTTCACGCGTACTTATAACATTATCGTTTTTACAATGACCGTGTGACAACCGCGTGGTTTTGACGAAATACATACACGGAGTTACTCGGGTTTAACCGTCGTCTACTCATCAATCGTTTCCAACGCAGCACAGCATTATTGTACCCAAATACCGAGTTCGCAGTCATAACCGTGTGACTGATAATCCGTCGCACAACACACACGTATCCGGCAAGTGTTTATGACGTATTGGCCGGATACGTGCTTACTAATAGTTACAATAATAACGACTTTAAATGATAATGCATTGATATTTATGTGTGCAGAATAATGCGACCTCGGTTCCGGTCGACCAGGAAATCACATGCCAGGAACTGTTGGCCCTTAGCGGCGCCTTGTCCGCGGCCCTGCCCACCGGTCAATCGGCCCTGACATCGTTGCTGAAGGCGCTCAGCAAGACTGGTGGAGGAGCGTCCGTTGCGACTATCGTACAGAACGTCAACCGCAACACGGCCAACATAAACAACAACAATACCGGCAGGACGAAACGTCACGCGCTGGTAAGCCGCCAACGTCAAAACCGTTACGGACAGTGTTGAGATATGTTTAGACCAGGGATCGGAAAAATATTTTTATCCGCACTGGGTATATTTTTCCTGCAGCTTTTCACCTGGGGGGGGGAGGAGGAGGCAGCATTGAAAATCAACACGAACGTTATAAAAAGCACAATTTTAAAATATCCGAGTAAAACTGTACATCAAAAATCATAAAAAGAACTACGTTGGTCTTATCAACCGATTTTGAATAAAATTTGTTGGCAAAGAAAAATCTTAAAGTTTAAAAACAACCAGTTGACCGAGACAGATTGTATAGCCACGAATCAAAAGCGTGAGATGAAACCTTCATATTTATTTCGATTAGAGTTTCAGAATTATAATTTTAAATGACATGAGAACATATACGTCCATTACCCTGCCTCCCCCCCATCCAGAAATGTGTAATTTTTTTAATGCTTATAATCAGTACGTAATTTATATGAATTTGTACGACCATTTTCAGAATTTGTACGGAGCTCGTTCACCGAGAAAAATTAGTTTTTCGCGGGAGGGACTGGAATAACGTTATTCCAGCCCCTCCCACCAGTAAAAATACACGTTTTACAAAAATTTATTTTGCGAATAATTAGTACGTAATTTGTATGGATTTTTACGATCATTTTACCACTTTTATGAATTAGCAAAGTGATATATTAACAAAATAAAAAATATTTTCAGAAGAATTCTGTATGTTTAAAATGTCTTCCATCATTATATTCATAATTGTATTACTATTATTTATACAAAGGCATATTGCAATCACACTACTTCTATTTTTAACTTATATTTGTTAGATAACAATGGCGCGGGATAAAAATAGTAATTATTTTTATTTTCTTAAGAAATATCCGATAATATGTATTTTACTCGTATTTATAATATACTTGTATATTACATATACTATTATATAAACTAATAACAGTTTATTTCAATCATTGTGTTCTTCAGTATTATGTTTACTTTTGGAACTTTGAAGTGGGACAGTGTTTTTGTAAATGTTTCATTTTGTTTTCTCTTTTGAAAAATATGAACCTTAAATAAATCACTTAAATAAATCACCTTTTTCACTACATATTTCTATTTTTAAATTTTTTGTAATTATTTGTATTAAATTTACATACAAAAATTTAACTTAAAAATTAAAATTCTACTGACAAGTATAAGATACATTATTATTTCGTATAAAACTTGAGTAATTTTTTTGACAGGTATTGGTTGTGTTTTTAGGTCATCAAATAACTCCCAATGTTCATTACATCTTTTCACGTAAGTTGTGTAATGGCCTACAGAATTTCTTAAATTATTATTCCCTCTGTGAAAATGTGTTACTCCACGAAATTCATACGACTTTTTATTAAGAGATATGCCTTTTGGATTATCACATAGTTTTAAATCTAATGTATATCCTGTATCATTGCTGTGTTCAACGTTTTCACCTGAAAAATATTAGGTATATTCAAAATGTTGACCTACGATAAGTACTTAAGTTATTAAAAAGATAATCATACCTTTCCAAAACAGAATTTCAATGAAAATAAGTACTGGCGAAATGTTCGATTCAATATTCTGAAATCCACTGCAGTTTGATAAAGCGTTTTTATTGTGCAAACATGCAAGTTTCTCCACGGAAAGACGTTTATTAATAAATTGCTGCAATTCTTGGATTTGACCTTTGGTAGTTTCATATGTAATGTAGCTTTAGGACGTTCAATTACCGATGAATATTTCTCACAATTTTTATTTGAAAATATGATTAATTCAATAATTATTGGAAATTCCAACATCATTGTTTTATTTATATTAAGGCATACTGCAAACATACTACCTATTTCTATTTTAAACATCTATAAGTTAGATAACAATGGCATGGGATATAAATAGTAATTTTTATTTTATTTAAAAATATCCAATAGTATGTATTTTACTCATATTTATAATATACTTGTATATGATATAAATTAATAACAGTTCATTTTAGTCATTTAGCTCTTCAGTGTTGTGTTTACCATATGAACTGTGAATTAGAGTGCAGTATTTGTACAACAATTTAATTTTGATTTCTTTTTTGAGACATCATTTTGTAATAGAAATATAATTTTATTAAATATGTTAATAATTTATTAACATTATTATTAAAAATGGCTGGAAGAAAAAATTTCATTTGTTGAAGCTAATATAATCTTTTTACAACTTTCCGTTATAATTTTTTTTATGACAAAGAAAATCTTAAGAAAATTTTTTTATCCAATTTTCATAATTTTCATGCCTTAAATATTAAATCAATTTTTATGTATTTTTAACTATAAAAATGTACGACTAATATTTTATGAGATAAAATCGGATTTTTGTAATATTTCTGGGTGACTATAAGTTGCATCCCAATGTACCTTTTTGATGTAAATTGAGATCCGAGTAATTTTGGATATACTAAATTGCGTCCCGTACATTTTTTGTACATGTGTAAATTGCATCCCGGGTATTTTTATATTAAAATTTATATTAACAATTTACAACCAATATTTTCCTACCCATTTAAAATATTGCTGTTTGTACTAACACTTTTTTATTTAAAATTAAGAAACAATAATAATAAAACAAAAAATGTATACGTCATATTATATTAATTATTAATTATGTAATTAACGAATACATGACAGAAACACAGGCCGCAACTTAAGTATATACCTGACAAATACCTAGTTGCAATTTATGTATGTTGTTATGGGGACCTTTTATAATAAAATATGTAATATGCAATATATGAGCTAATATTATGAGTATATAATATGTATTATAACATAGTAGAAATATATATAAGAATATATTATATTCTTCGGCGTGCGAAATACTATTAAACGCTTTTAGCTGTATATCAATACTTTGCTTTCTTTGATGTATAAGAAATTTTTGTTGCATCAAATTATGTTTGGAATGATATTAGTATATATCTGAATGGCTGTGTTCAGTGCCGCAATTACACTAACTTAGGCCCGTGTGCAGTGGCGTAACAAGGGTATGACAAACTGTGCCTACGCAAGGGGCGCAAAATTGTGCATAAGTCGTATTTGTATCCTACAATTAAATCGAAATTTTTCTATTATATTTTTTGAAATACGTAGATTTTGCCTATTTGTACAGACTACATTTGAATTTAATGATGAAATTATGAAAATATTATTATATACAATACATACATAACAAGATCATTTAAATAAAAAACTTCATATGAAGAAATTATCGATTAATTCGCTAGTCATAATGCGAGAAAAGCAAATTTTAAAAATTTAAACACTGTAATAATTAATTATAAATAAAAATTGTAACATCATATTTCAATTAGTTAAAAAGCGTTTTTTTTTCTAAGTTTGCCAAAGGCGCTAATGAGTCTTTCTATGCCACTACCCGTGTGTAAATAAAATGAATGCCCTCCACCGCATCCGGACTCTATAGGAAAACCGTACCATATTTGTAACCAAACTATTTTGAATTTCGAATTTTCTTGCTTTCTACATATTTTTAAAATATTTTGGGTCCTATTGGTCCCATTGGGCCCTATTATAAGACCATGGACCCGTGTGTTTGACACATGCAAAATACCCGGTTATTGCGGCACTGGCCGTGTTAGCAAAAATGCAATACATTTGTTCGCGCATACTGATCGTCATAATGTTAAAATAGCTTTAGGATTACAAGAAGAGTATATACAAGACATTTGTCAGATTTCTGCAAATAATACTCAGGTGGATATTGCTAACGAACATCTAATTAATTTATATAATAGTATATGTAATATATAAGTATATTATAAATACGAGTAAAATACATATTATCGGATATTTCTTAAGAAAATAAAAATAATTACTATTTTTATCCCGCGCCATTGTTATCTAACAAATATAAGTTTAAAATAAAAATAGTATGATTGCAATATGCCTTTGTATAAATAATAGTAATACAATTATGAATATTATGATGTAAGATTTTAAACATACAGAATTCTTCTGAAAATATATTTTATTTTGTTAATATATCACTTTGCTAATTCATAAAAGTGGTAAAATGATCGTAAAAATCCATACAAATTACGTACTAATTATTCGCAAAATAAATTTTTGTAAAACGTGTATTTTTACTGGTGGGAGGGGCTGGAATAACGTTATTCCAGTCCCTCCCGCGAAAAACTAATTTTTCTCGGTGAACAAGCTCCGTACAAATTCTGAAAATGGTCGTACAAATTCATATAAATTACGTACTGATTATAAGCATTAAAAAAATTACACATTTCTGGATGGGGGGGAGGCAGGGTAATGGACGTAGAACATATATTTTAGGAGCTACAATTTTAATACTGTCCAGACGTAAACCGTATACTTTCGACATTAAATCTTATCTAGATGAACAAACAAGTCCGTCTATCTTCTTCTTATGGTGAGGAAACATTTTATAGATTTTCAAATACAACACAATAAACGATTTTACACCAAATTACGAATCCGTAATAATCCTCTCACTTGTTTTCGACCACATTCTTGGATAACCTACCACGTTTTCTCAAAATATGCTGTTGTCGAGTCCCTTAAATTTGTAATTCATATGTTCCGGAAGATTCTATCAGTGGACAGCCTCCTCCAAAGGTGTAAAATTATATTTTCATGTAAACACTATTATCAGATTTTCATATCGAGTTTTACTTTTCTTAAACACAGACAGTAAGTTTTCTATGAAAAAAAAAAAAATTGTATAATGTACGTACTCGATCAACGATATTCGTTCCAAGCAGTGATAAACGATTTTGTGTACATAAATCATAACGAATATTCAAAAATTCAAAAATTAATAATTATCCTGAGAGTTGTCAATATTTTTTTTGAGTGCCATGTTTTACGTATTATAAAATTGGTTTAAAGTTGAGAAAACATTACTCTTAATTTCACACGTTTTCAAAGTAACTTAAAGTTTTAACACACAGCTGCAGTAACACATTTCTATAATCGGAATAATCATATAAGTATATTCTGGTAAAAATGGATTTAGCACAATATCGGTGAGTGTATTTATTAAATGTTTAATCCGGATAAAAATCTCAAGCATTGCCGTTATCATTATTCGGATGATTAATTCCGTCCCAACACTGGTTACGTTCGGATGGCGAACGATATGGAAACTGTGCGTGCACTTACCTCTCGTTCGTGTTTTCTTGTTTTCGCATTCGTTCCGTTTTCCTTCACCACTCGCCCTATGTTCGTTCGCAGATGGACCGACAGTCTGATGGAGAGCTGATGATGGACGACGAAGACGACCGATCGGAGGGTAAAAACAAAGCATGCCTCGCCGACGCGATGGGTTGCCTGCAGATTTATTGTCTGGTGGGCTGTTCCCTGTTGAGAGAGTGTATTAAGCTCCTCGTCAACCATAGACGGTTCCAGCAGTGCATTTTGCTTGCAATACTTATCAACACGCTCAGCATGGGCATAGAGTACCACAATCAGGTATAAACGAACTCGTATATACATGTTCACGTACACACTCACGTACACACATACATACACGTAAACTATTTACACAACCTATTACACTATTGTTATTATTTTTATTATTTTTTTTTTCCTCTCACGCTTCCTCATTCTACAGAAACACTCCCACTCAATCCTGATACCGGCTTCGTGGGTCTCCTACACGTGTGTATGTGAATTTCATGCCGGATATAATCTCGATGCTCCTCGTTAATGTTTTTTCCGGAATGTTTTTGAAACCTTACCAATCCATCATAATATATGCCTATGAAGTACCATAATATAGACCTTTAGTCAGCACGATAACCATGTTCAAAACTTAAGTTATAAATATTTAAATAAGTTATATTATTATGTGTTCGATTTTCTTTACGATTTAAGTCATAATTCAAAATAATGATTCAATTATAGTTCAATGGTTTGAATTACGACAAATTGAATTTACATAAACTAAATATAAGCCTTAGGTAATGTATTGAAATTGCTTACAATTTAAACAAATTTAAATAATTGATTTCGGTTGAACGTGACTTGTATATAATTAACGTATTACTACTGACATGATAAATTGGGGAAAATTATGTTCCCGATGAATAAGTATCATGAAAAAGAAATACCAATTACAATTATTATTCTTTAGGCTCTATTTAATGAATGTTTCTCACAATTATTTTAAATCTGAAAAATCGCTTTTAAATCTACATATATAATTTTTTAATCAGCCAAATAATATAATTTAATAACCAAACGTATTATAATTTATTTTTATATATGTATAACTATTTGAATATTCAGTTTATCCGTGCCAAGCATTAAGTAAAGATAAAATAATCTGGTTCTTGTATATAGTTTTCCAAGGTTTGTACAATTTAAACTTAGTTTCTACAACTTTTATTAATAATATCATACTAAGTTTTATAGTTAATCGAGATGTAGCTTTAACACTTAATATATAAATTTATTTATTTTAAATTTTCTATTTTCTATAATGGCCTACTAGGTCACGTGTTTCTAAAAATTAAACTCGGTATGCAATTAAGTTTATCAATATAAAAATGCTGTATTTAAATATACTCATATTTTTAAATTTCTTTGAATAAATATGTATAATTACCTATTGTTTTTAATCTTTTAAAAGAAAACTTCCACTTGATAACTGAAAATGTTAATTCTTGTTCTTAGACTAAACATTGATATTTCTACTTAAGCATGATTATATTTGGTTTATTCATTACATAATTATTTTCTTAATAACAATTAATATCGATAAATATATATTATAATCGATTATATTTCATAAATAAATTCAATAAAGATAATTCAAAAAATCAAATACCTACGTATATTTACTTCGATATCTAAGGAATTAAAATAACAATAATTTGTAATCAGTATAAAAACTTTTCTAATTTAAATTCGATTTTCAAAAGTTAAAATTTATTGAAATGTTTCGCAGATTTTAAAAACAACAAATAAAATTGTTACATTTAGACATATGTTTTTTGTTCGCTAAAATGCCAATAGTCTTAAAAAAAAACATTAAAAATTATATTAAATAATACGATAATCCAGTAAAAAATTGTATGGTATCGTAAGCATACACACATCATTTCAAATTATTAAATTACTTTATTTTATATCTTTTTTTCTGCTAATTAATTTAATTTATTTTAATTTATTTACATTTTTAAAAAAATAATTTTTAATATTTATTTAATTATTGAGAAGATTCAATCCGTGTAGCTTATTATCGTAATATTTTAATAGAAAAATTAATTCAGATCGAATCCCTTTAAGATTAAAAAATATACAAGTTATATAATATATGTAACAATTATTTTCTAAATTAATATTTGAACATACTATTTTAAAATGTATTCGATTAAATTTAAAAGTATCGGTGTTAAAAAAATATCGCAATGAATTAGATTTGTACGATTAATACAAATATGAAGACTTCATACAAAATATGCATAGTAAAATTAATTATTTCCTAATAATCGTTCATAATTATAAAAAAAATTAATTAAAAACTCTCAAACCATGCCTAGTAGTAAGTGATCAAACTAATCAGTAACATTTTAATCTTGCTTTACATATTTCACAAAAAAACGATATGACATCCATTGTGCACACTATATTGTGTACAATTGAAAGACCACATAAAATATTGCACGCAATTCTATAACAATAAGACGATTGTATAACATGTATTATAACTAGAGGTCGTAGTTATACACGGTTAATAGAGTACACGTGTACCCGCGTTACGTGTACACGTGTATTAAATCTATTAATGTCCGTGTTTTTACTACACGGGTATTTTTTACTGATATACTTGTATTTAATACCCGTTATCCGTATACTTAATACCAGCTTGTACATATTGCCCGATAAGTAAATATCAGGCACCCGTTTAGTTATTAATTCAGGGTAATTAAAGGTATATTATATAATTATTCAAATATTGGTATGAATCTTGTTTGGCTTTCACAGAAATTGGCAATTTTTTTTAAACCTAAGTGGATATTTCACTCTTATAAAAATGATTATTATACCTACTTATAATTACTTAATATTTTTACTTACTCTACCATAATTTATATAAAATGTTCTATATATGCCATCACTATGGCGTATACGAATTGCGTTCCTAAATAATATTTCGTCCGAGTTGCGTCTGTGGTTTTCTCATGCCATGGGTTTTTCAGAAACTGTGAATATTGTTTGGTGATAAACTCGTAGATAATCTCGATTATCATCATATCTGTAAATACCACCTTACAATTTATTGTTGGAAATTAATTTTGTTTATGGTTAGCATTAGTCTTGCTTTGAAATCCAAAAATCTATTTAATAATAGAGAAATATCAATTATTACAATACAAAAACACGGAGAGTAAAATACACAAGTAATGTCGGGTATTTAGCTACACTAGTATTTACAAATACACGTGTATTTTATTTACACGGACCTTAATCCGGTTTCAGATAAGAACACGTGTACCCGTGTAATTCATTACACGTGTAATGGCGAGCACTAATTTTAACTACAGTAAAAACAAAAACAATATATAAATATAATTTTTATCGCCTTTTTTTCCTAACTCAATATAAACAATTTCGGTTAGTAGTAATAATAGTAATATTCTTCGATGATAAACTATGGAATTCATATTCTACACAAGCAGGTAACGAGATTGCCTACACAACACGCCGTCATAATAATTTGATAATAGCAACTGTACTCCGCGTACAGCAATATTCTATCCGTGAAACAAAATACCGGGTAATTCAATGTGGGGAGGAGAAGACTAGTTTCATATTTATACTGTTATTGATCTTAAAATAATGTATAATTACGTGATCATATTGTTATAATTGGTAGAGCTCACGTGGACGCAGCCACTGGAAGTCGATTTGATCAAGTTGAAGCAAACGATTAAACCGACCTCCAATGGCTGCGTCCACATAAGCGGCTTCAATTTTTACAATTGGCTGACGTATCTGTGTATTCTAAAATGTATCATATTGTGCATCATACCGGTATTTTCTCGAACGACTCAACCATTTGTCTTCGTGTACTATACATTACGTTAAAAATCGGCTATTGCTGTACGCTTTGCGATTATTGTATACTTTGACAACGATCAGTATAAATATTTATAATCAAAATGTACTGAGCAGTTCGAACAATTATATGTTGTTGTAAATATTTCTATTTTTAGCCCATGGAGCTAACCGTGATCGTCGAGTACAGTAATATTGTTTTTTCCGCGATATTCGCCGCAGAGATGTTTTTGAAGGTAATCGCAGAGGGACCTTGTGGATATATCAGTAATGGATTCAACGTATTTGACGGAATAATTGTCATATTAAGGTAACAGCGCATTAATTATTTCCAATATATTATAATAATAGCAAAAACAATATTTATTATTATTACTTTTATTATTATCTACGTTTCAAAACTTAGTAAGATTAATTAAACTCCGTGCCGATCGTTTGTACACGTTTAATAAAAAATAACAATAGACATGCTAAACCTAATGTTATGGAAATAATATAATGTCAGCAAATACAATTCATCTTATTATTTTTTCTTTTCAAGACAGAACTACGGTTTTTTCTCTTAAAGGTTTATTCGGTTAATACCAATTCACGATTGTAATTATTCTATTCGAGAATAATTTACAGCCATTTCTTATTTCTTCTCAGCCACAATATTTTTTTTCTCATAAACTGTATATTTCTTAGATATATATCAAAATTAATAGTTCGATGTTCAAACTCCACGAGCCTTATACATAAGAATATGCCACTAACAACCTTCGTCATCTTAAATACATTTTACCGTCGTATATAATAACTATTAATTTTGTTTTTTTATTCCTGTGTTTTCTGCACATTTTTTATTGTTCTTCCCAACGGATGCTATCAACTTAAAAATTTCCTTTTAACACACGCACGCACGCGCATTTATTCGGGCAAAACTATAAATTTCCATTAATCGTAATTCAATTACTTCAATGCTTAAAAATATATTTCATGTATATTTCATTGATGAAATCAAACAAATACTAAATACTAAATCGGCCTCGGCGGTTCTGTTCCTCAGCATTGTGGAACTAACACAATCGTTCGAGAATACGAGCGGTCAAAGAGAAGGAAACTCAGGACTCAGTGTGCTGAGAACATTCCGGCTATTACGGATATTGAAACTCGTTCGATTCATGCCGAATCTACGCCGTCAACTGTTCGTCATGCTCCGCACTATGGACAACGTCGCGGTGTTTTTTTCACTTCTAATTTTGTTTATCTTCATATTCAGGTAAAATAATTAACCACGTTACTAGCTTTTATTTCCTTTTCGCAACTAATAAGGATTGTTGTTGTACTTTAACATCATTGACATTGAATTCGGTCATTAACCAAACACGTTTTCCACCTGAAACATGTTCAAATCACACATATACGCATATTATAATATTTCAATATTGTCATTATTATCATATTAATTTTATGAAGAATAGTAAAAAAAATCATACCGAAAACACGATTGTGATCCCCGTTGGTGGTGTAAATAGAATATTTTAAACAGCGCGAATTCCGCTCGAAACAAGAAGGCGCCGACGTCCTAGGATGACGATATTGTATAACGATGTCGTCTAAATATCGGAACATGATATCTCAAACTGTTATCGAATAGCGCCCGTTTTAAGTGAATATTTTCTTATCGGTTTGCTATCGTAATATTGTTCGAACAGTGCGTTTATCGGTACAATGACTTGACAGCTTGGCAGTGATTAGAGTTCGAAATTAACTGTGGGCCGGATATTCGCAGTGACAGAGGTCGAAACAAAAACATCGTTCCAGGGCGGTTTGTTATTCTCATCTCGATTACCGAATCCCTCTCAAATTCAATTTGTCGATAGCATATTTCTTATCTCACCCCATGGTTTCCACTCTGTCGCGTCAACCATACCGTACCAAACCGTTAAATGTTATATTTATATAAAAACAGTGAATACGTATACATAAGATACAATGCATGCACACTGTGCTCCCGAGCCCGTGAGACAATTCACGAGGAGTAACCAAATTACATCCCTTACGCGCTTACAGTTACATATATTTATACTCAATGTTGTTGAAGACTATCATTTATGCGCATTTCGAGAAGAAAGGGTAAGGGAGGAGTGTTGCATGTATTATTTCAAAAGTGAAACTTCCAAAAGTACCATCACCTGGTTCTACTGCTGGTAAATTAACAATACCTGTTTAATGATGCTGCCATTTCATTATTGTGGTTTATCATTACCGCGAAGCAACATAAATTTATATACGTACCGACACTTGAATATGTCATAAAAACCTAATCCTATTTTCGACAAGTACTCCTCGAGATGGCATATAAGCACAAACACACACACACACATACATACTTAAAGACACACAAAAAATCGAAACAATAGTGAGTCGGAATAATACGTGTTTTTTCCCGACTACAGAAAATATAATATAATATAAAAATATAATATATATTATATATTGTCTCGGCAGAGCCGAAATAAGTGCGGGATTGCAACATTACAGTATAAAATGGCATGTGCTTTATGATTTTCGAAATAGTTGTGGCTAATGCAAACGTTTTGAAATTAATCGTCGGATAGCAACTGGAGAAAAATCTAAAACAATGATGCGATCCATAGCATTGTATTACACAACTGCTATGTTACATGAGTAGTTATATGCTTACGTTTAGGAACTATGTCATATTTTTTCTATGAAGATTTACCTCCCCCGCCTAAATTTCCCTATTTTCGCTTATTGTTATAATTTAAATTATCTTCTCCCAAAATACAGTTTGGTTCAATGAGGAAATATAATACTTTGTTGACGCAAAAATTAAATTTAATGAAACAACTTTTATAATATTATCATCTGAACCGACATTACTATACTAATATAAATATCTTTACGGCTCAGTTGGGTCCTAGTCTATAAATATAATTTAGTCAAAACTTATTTCTGCACAACGTTTTATATTTATATACATTTATTCAAACTTAAAGTAATCACGTTTTTTCTTTAGTTTCAACAGCAACAGTAATACTAAAGAGTATTGTTCATTAGCACAATCAAATAATTACTAGTGATTACATTTTTCGAACTTCTCTTATACTTGGTTAAGAGTGTATTGCTTTTTTCACAAGGAGCCGTTTAATTAAACTAGAACTTTTTTAGCACATAACTTGAAGTTGAAAAATTATAAAATAAAGTCGAGATAATAACCTACATGTTTCATGTACGGCTATTGTTTATAATGTTACGAATCTCTACACAAAAATCATATATTTATTGTAAATGTACTGTCACTGCAGGAAAAAAAAATCAGTTCATTAAATTAAAATTTTGAAAATTAATGTTTATTTTTTGAACAAAGTCCGACAAACGAGCATTAGGTAATGTTATAAATATGTACATGCTCGTAGTACGTGTGTTTTTATAGACATTTTGTCTTCGGTTCCATCGAACAACAACGGCGCTATACCGTATGCAAAATTAACGTAATGGAACGCACGTTAAGCCGTTAATAAATTCGATTTGTTTGTCACATTTAAAACGTGCGTTTTCGTGAACCGAACATATCCCGCGCGGTTGACGTACGAGTGCGCTAGAATTCGCTGAAATTATTAATATTGAACTTAAGGGTACAACACATGTCACGGAAACACGCGATTGTATCAATGACATGGTGATGACGGCCTAATCCGTTGTTTCCAAGCGCGAGTGACGAAATTGAGTGAGAAAAATCGAAACGGTCGGGTAACGATGCGAAAGATATGTATAGTTTTAACCTTTTTTTTAAAAAAAAAATAAAATAAAAAAAATACCATATAAAGTATTTACAATCTTTAGTGTATTATTTTTTCAACAAGTTACTTTGATAGAATAAATATTTAAAATACATGGAAGTACAAACGAGAAGAGTTGTGTGGAAAATCTCAGACACTAATGAAACTTAGTCTAGAGATCTTCACGCCCCAGTGTCTTTTTAGTTGTCACGAAAAATGTTATGGTGATGATTCACCGGATAATATTGAAAATTGTGGATTTGTAAGGTTGTCTAGTTAACTGTAATATTTTTATAGTAATTTTTATATGCGACTGAAGATGATTGCGATTTTTTAACGGTTGTGTAGTGTTAAGTTATTTAATGAAATCGACTGAATGATCTGGATGACATGTGCTAAGAAAAGGTATAATCTATATTTGAATACTGTACACTTCTATAGGTTTGAACATTATTTTGTATACTAATAATTTTTTGTCAATTATATTTGATGGTTTTAAATTAATTTCGAAATGTTGAAGTCTAGTATTTAGCATCGTTCTCTTGGTTTTTAAATGTGGATATAACTGAGGCGTTTGTCTAATAAAGGCTTATTTATTTAATTTGAGTTATTGTTGGAATTCGGACATCTTGAAAGTAAACTTCAGGTGAATTACCTTTTCTTCGAAAGAAATTTATATAGAAATACTTGTCTGCATTAGTTTTGATTTTTCATTTGAAGGGCCATTTTATTGAATTTATAGAAGTATATTTGAAGGTTTTGTGATACTATTTCAAAATTAAATCCCTTATAAAAGTAACACTTATACCATCACTGTTTGATATCGTATATAATTTTAAGTACAAAAAAATAATGAACTAAATTTTGCGTTTTAAAAATATTTACACTTTTTAGTTTTAAAAATCATGCCGATTGTCGCGACAGTCAACAACAAATACCTATTCCGTTTATTTTTTATTTTTTTTTAATCAAACTCAACTGATTGTAACCTAATAATAATAAATTGTAGTTCAAAGTAGCTTTTTTTATTTGGATCACAAAAAAAACTACATAATTAGATTGATTTTTTTTTGTCATTCAAAAATTGTAGACCCATGAGAACTATAAACACAACTATTAACAATGAAAAATACATGGCATAAAGTATATTTTTGTGTCACCAGATTGAATGTACGTCTTAATATTATTTTGTTCGACATTCGATTGTTAATTGAATAGGTACATTGCCAATTGGTTTTGACGTTTTTACTCAAATTAACAAAAAAATTTAAACCAATGTAATTGTTTATACTTATTCAAAGGGATTGGTTATTTTGGTGTACATGTTTTACTGATGAAAATATTTTGATCGACAAGGCATAGTTTTTAGTCTCATAAAATACAAAATACAGATAGATATCGAGGTAATTATATCTTTAATATTTGATTATTTTCATCAAAATAACATAATTCTGACTTGTTCTCATCACTCGGATAACTATCTGGGTTTGCTATTTCTAAAATTGAATTTCCCCGATAATAATTATCTCACACGCACTATTTGTATTCGATATTTAACGGAGTATAAATACGCGCGATTTTTGCTTAAATACTAATTGCCTCATGATAATGTATCAAATAGCTCAATTTCTGCCAAGATCCGCGTCATCTATTTTTCGCTGAGTACAGCAAAACGGTAGTCGAATATAATCCTTCAGAAAACTCAAGGGACTTGTAAATACAATTAGTTGAAAGGTTAAAATTTATATAAATTAATGTTTGTCCAATCAGAAATATCAATGCAGTTTTGTTTTGTAGACTCTGCCGCAGGGTCTAGTCCTGTTGGCATTGAGTTTAATTCTGGCTCGTAAAACGCCTTTGTACTCGTTTTCCATATTATACTGAAACCCTTCTCTTTGAATAGAAAAATAAAAATCAATAATAAGCTTTTGTAGGCTACTATTTTTTATTCTATAATATACGAGTATGTTGTCGAATGTTATTCTGAACATTATTTTTTACGCTCTTACAAAATATATCGAAACAGGATGAAAACAAACACATTGAGATAATGTCGACTGCTCGCGTCGGAAAAATTTCAAACAAATAGACTGTTATTATGTCATACGCAATAAGTTAATATATATAGTATATAGTATATAGTGTATATACTATATACATATTTAATGTTGTATTTTTCTATTTCACGAGTACGCTTGCATTCTGAATAACACGAATTTAATTCGAAATATCACATTCAAACATTATACAATTCAAATAAACACATTTTTAAAATTAATTGGTCCAAAACATATTTGTTTCTAACACGATCCATCTTTAACATGAATGTTTGCAATGTTTTCACATTAACATAAACATAATATTTTCGTAAAAGTATAATATATTACACATCGATCGTTCGTCAAGTAGGTATAGCGATCGAAAAACCAAAGTCTTAAAATGCACACTTTCACATAATTTGAAAATCGTTTTCGAATCGGTTCACGTTCATGTACGGGCATACATACGAACACATACTATAATGTTATCTGTTTTGTTATCGATCTGCAATCTGCACACACGCACGAGTTACACATACTAAACTTTTTATAACATTTCAGTTTTAATGTGACCCGATAATTGAATATATATGTATTTTGATTAAGAAATAGAATAATAGAATTAATGATTAATATTTTTGTAGTATACTGGGCATGAACTTATTCGGATGTAAATTCTGTAGCCGAAAGAATGATGGAACAGAGAATGATGTCGCGTGCGACAGAAAGAATTTTGACTCATTGTTATGGGCGTTAGTCACTGTATTTCAGGTACCTGGAAAGATAATCTGATTATTTAGAATGTTTAAAATCTTTCTCTCTAAAGTTTTCTCTGTTTTCCTGATAAAATTGCATTACGCGACATAAATATCTCATTACAATGGTCCCGTTTATGCAAAGAAGAAAAAATAATAATAAGAAACTCTCGGTAAACTATAGTGAAAACAAAACATATAACTCTCATTTTTATAGTAATAATCATTGTTATTATAATGATATTACAAACTAGTCGAATTAATCAAATTAAAAAGAAATATGCTGTTAAAATATACCATAATACGAGAAGGTTGATAATAATTACACAAAATCTAAAAATTTGGTCTTAACAAAGAATAACCATTTAACTGTTTGAACAGTACTTCTTGTTTTTTGTTTATTCTGCAAAATTTGAGATAATATAATTTGTAAATATTCTCAACGATATGTGCATAGAAATATTGTTTTACATAATATTTCGTCGATAATAGGCACATAGCACCACTGTTTGAAGCTTTTGTATAACAGAAAATTATCACAAATTATTTTTTTTAAATCTTTTGATAAATTAATATTATGGTAATATCAAACATAACATTATACAGCTGGTTAAATATGCTTTTCAACTATATATAAATACCTAACTGACAATTTATTTTTTATCTATTAAAAATAGTTATATATAGTATAACTATATATAAATAGTTATCATGAGATGATTTTATTTCAATAATTGGTACAGGGTCTTCTGCGGCATATTATTCTGATTATTTCTTCAATTAAAAATAATTTATGATAATATTATTTCTTTTTGAAATTAAAAAAATTATATTTTATTTTTATCTAATTGATGTTCTATATACATTTTTTACAGTGGACTCATAAATTCAGTTTTTATAATTATAACGTAATTTTATTGTTTAACTATATGTTTCATGTATACATTTTTTTTTCTTAAAATAAATTTACTAAACTACAAATGTATAAAATAAATATTCAAAATTATTTTTAGTCATATATTGGGTTATATTTTACATAAAGATATTGTACTGTCGTGGAAAAACAATCTTTGCGATTAAGTTTTTAAATTCCTATGCAAAAAAAAAAAAACAAAAATATGTCATCATGAACTAGAATTAGTTGAAATTGAAAATTATACCGTAAATTACATTTATACTGAGCCCAAGAGAGTTCTGCAAGTAATTTTGTTATTTTTTTAGTAGTACTCTGTTCTAAAAATCTCAACGGAAAACCTTAATCAATTACGTTGAAATGACTACAGGACTGTAGAAATATTTTTAATAATATCTCAATATTATTCTTTAAATAAAATTACTTTTTATTTTTGCATAAACGGGATTCTAATTTATAGTGTAATGCTGTTACACTGTCCATTAAACTAATATTAATCTTTAATATTAATACAAACCTAAGTATGTGATTTACTTTATGTTACTAAATGAAATAAACAAATATTGACTCATCATGTTTGGTTTCTTTTTTTTTTTTTTTAACGCTTTGGCTTTTGCACATTTAAATACGACTTCTATGTTTAAAACTAACATCTAATAGACTTTAATTAACATATCTATCGCTATCTCATTTATTTTCTGATACATTAAATAATTACATTTACCTTTTATTCGAATAAAATATGAAAAAATCATGTCCATAGATAACAAGAATGTGCATCGAAAACCGTTAAATAAGCATTTTGTCAAATGAATCCTTTAGACGCCAAAACCGAATTTATATACATATATTATAAGTAGAACACGCACAAGCGGATTTTGATATTTACGTTAACACGTAAATATGATCACGTATACGTATTTAAGTGTTTTCGTCCCTGTTGAAACCAAGAGGATATGTATTGTGTCGGTACAATACCTTATTGTGTACTAAAGTAAACTTAACAAGAAAGTCTGTCGAATTTTTTTTTTTTTTTTATTGAGCGATAAACGTATGTAATATTTTTATTTATGTTTATGTACTTTTTATATAAATGTTATCATCTCGCTCTTAAAAAAAAGCGTTTTTATATTTTATCTAAACAAAAAAATAAAAAATAAAAAATTCAACGAAAAATACGTCTAGAACATATTTGTTCGGAGTACAATAAAAATATAAAAATTTTAACAAGAGATATAGTTGAAGCCCAACGCACGTTTTTGAATGTTTCAACAGGTGATGGGAAACCCATAAAAACCCACGTACTCACAGCATAGCGTACAACTTAGAAACGTAAAATAATATATATATATATATTTATATACTGTGACACACCCGTCATAGATCATACCAATACATATTTTATATTAGACTTGAGTAGTGAGTCCTAAATAGCATATTTCATAGGTTAAAATAATTCACTATTAGACACATAACCTAATTATACATTTATATACATACATATATATATACTTATATACATATGTATACTAGTATTATTGTAATATTATCTGTTATCATATTATTATATTGTTTATTATAATAAATGCTACACTATTATTTAGTTTAACTCTTAGGATCTATATTATATGATATATTATAAATAAATCTATAAATCTCGCCTCTGTCACTCTGAACTTATCCTCGTGCTACTGCTATAGTCTTGCATGATCGAACCAAACGAATTGTGATGTTATTTATTTTTTTTTTTTTTTGAGACTTTAGTACTGAATCTCAATGATTGATAACATAAAATTCTTGCAATTACATCGTTATTATTCAAGTTACACGTCTTCCGTGTATCATATTATTATTACGTAATTTAATATGACATTAGATGTACATACACCAATGATGACGGCGCCTTCGTAAATATGTAAGTAAACACAGCATTCACAAGCATTGGTACTTATACACAGGACTCGATAAGCCAAACACTTAGATACAACTATATAGTGTTTTGTGAACAGTGTTTTTACGAGTTTTCGTCGCGATAGATATACACCATCGTAGCGATCAAAATTATTTGTGAAAAAAATTAGTGCTATTCTTATACGTGTATAGTGTGAAGTAAGATATTTTCGTCGCATAAACAATACCGTGATATTATTTGTTGAACGTAAAATGTAATTCCCTATTACACGGTTGACTTGAAAATTACAATGATCCCTAAAATACATTTATCTTAAGGATCAATGCAATTTTCAAGTCGATCGTGTAATAGGGAATTACATTATGCGTTCAACAAATATTATCATAAAATTGCCTACGCCACGAAAATACCTCACTTCACCCTATATACGTATAGATGCTTCTTAAAATGCTCTTTGGGAATGCTAAAAACATCTCGAAATAGCGAAAGGGAGTGGAATTGATTTTATTGAATAAAATTAAAATGAACTTGCTACCTATTTATTTTACGTAGAAATACATTCTTTGCAGCATTCTCGGAATGTATCTTTTCGGTGGTAAGTTTTGCATGTACGGGAATGGAGCCCGGGAATGCAACTGCAAAGAAATTGTCACTAAACATCCCCTGTGCGTCTGCGATCGAAAACATTTTAATAATGTATTATGGGCAACAGTCACCGTCTTTCAAGTAGGTCATAAACTACTTAGATAGAAATGGAATACAAACGCAATTTACCATTTAACGCACGTCGATACCATTATGCTTACGTGTCCTCCGTTTGACTCGAAAATATCGTTTTGAAACCAACACAAATAAATTAATCGTATTGTTATTTATCTGTACGTGGTATCCGTGCACTCTAATATAATTACCTATAGCTCAAACCGTTCATGTTATTTATTCGTTCCCGTAAAATTTTAATACGTTTAGTTAAGTGTTTCACAGCGAATATTAAAAAAATATATAATAAATAAATAAACCGTAAGTATGTTTGTAAGTATGTTTCATATATAATAATATAACACCAACCACAATCATTTCTCGATGGCGAAATAATTGTAAAATAAATACTATATAAAGTCAATATAAAATTTATCACCGTTAGTTATTGAGTGAATAATTTTAAAAATACCAACAGTACTATGCATCGATATTGATAATTATATTTTTTTTCACATGAATAGGATTCTAGGTTTTAATTTTTTTTTTTTTTTTTTTTTTTTTTTTTTCATAAAGTTTGATTACCATTTAAGTGAAACATTTCCAATAATACTCGTCTTAAACAAAGCATAATTGAAAATAAAATAAATTTATCTCTCGTACTAATCATACCTATGAAATTTAATTAAAGAACATCGAATATAATCGTATAGCGTTTTTACAAACGTGGACAATGTTCATTCAACTACTTTTTCTTCTTCTGCACTCAAATCCTTTGCATCGAAAGTAGGTCACCACTTCGTTCTCCGCAACCATACGGTCCAACAACTCATATCTCACTCGCACGGACCAGTTAACCCTTGTACCACGTTAGAACTTCTAACTTCTAACTTAGAAAATGCCATTCGGTAGAACCGTATTCCTATATTATTCTTACGCGAGGTTTGAAATTTATATTTTTTCTGTTTTTATGCTCATAAAAAAAAAATTAATTATTTCGTTTACCAACAAAATATTCACGTACGAAAATAATGCGGTATTTTTTAACTTCATAGATATCGTGACATTTTCGACGAAAACGTGTGTACGTTTCTAATATTCCGTTAGCGTACCTATACGTATGTCGTATTACCCGAAATGTATTAACAATGTGCACGACTGAAACGAATTATTTAAAATAAATATTATACGACTGACTTTGTTCTCGTCAGAAAATGTATCGCCATAATCTGACTCGGGGAAAATAAGTTTGCGTTACAACGGAACATTTATGACGCAACAAGTCTAAAATAAATGGAATCGTATTAAGATTCCTCGTGAATATTTATCAATATTATATCAGGTACACGTTTACATACGCAACAAGACAATGAGTAAAAAATAATTTCCCATGTATATAATAAATATGACGAATAAATAAGTGCTCGTTGGACGAGTTTTATTCAATTTTAAGTTTAAATAATTTATATCAACATTTGTAAAATGCGTTTGTATTTCTTTTTAGTTTTTTTTTTTTAATTATTTATTTTTTGTAATTTCATAAAATAGACAATTTACTTTAATGTATGTTAGAAAATAAAATTATCTAAATCTATTTTCCTTTGTTATTTTTTATTCCATTAGTGAAATATAAAAACCATTTCAATACTATCAATGGTCGTACTATGCTTTTAGTGACCTATTTTCACGATTGTGCTTCTAACAACCGCTTGTTTTTTATTACAAAATTATAGATTCAGAATTTTTATTTTTTACTTTATATTATATCAATAACACCGCTTTTAAAGTTAGACCTATGAACTCTTTTCGATACACATAAAAAAAAAAAGAAAAAAAGATCAAAATCAAAATATTATATCCGTTCAACTAATTGGGAGATAACGAAATACTATTTATTACTGTTTTATCTTCATTGCACGATTTCAAATCTAATAAAAATACTTCTTACTTTCTATTAAAAATATGTTTTTAACCGTTTTTAAATTGTAATATTTATATTTACTTCGGCACAGATTCTTACGCAAGAAGACTGGAACATTGTGTTGTTCAATGGAATGGAAAAGACGAGCCATTGGGCCGCTCTTTATTTCGTGACGCTGATGACATTTGGCAATTATGTGTTGTTTAATTTGCTGGTGGCAATTTTGGTTGAAGGATTTTCCTCAGAGGTAATAGCTAAACATTCGATAAAAACATTTCGAAACGTAACAGAAAATATTCTTTAGAAACGAATACAATAGCTATACGTGTTTTTTTTTTATATATATAAAAAAAATACTGATTTCAATTTTTTTATTCATTTTATGTTTCTAAGTTAACTACCTATCTACCTTTTTGCACGTACTTTTCATTTTTTATACGTCATCGACGTAATAAAACAAATGCAAACGATTCCATTGTTATTTACATGATTATAAGTAAAAAAAAAAAACACACACACACACACAAACGCAGTTTCATATCCATTAGATTAAACACGTTGTTATTGTTCAATAATTATACTGTCTTACAAATTCATAATAAAAGCGACGTAAATACATTACTAAGTCGGAAGAAACTGTCAAAAAAGTTTTTCAACCGTTATGTTCACATGAACCGTACTCAGAAGTGTTGAAAATAATAATAAACGAACGCGTAAATAGTGTGATTTTGAAAATAGTTTTTTTTTTCCCCACCCGTTGTAGCGCAACGAACGGCGAGAAAGAGAACGACGGGAGCTCGAGAGGCAGCAGCAGTCGTCGTGGTGCAAATGCGTGTGTTCGTGTTATGGCGACGACAAAGGAAATTGCGAATTCTGTTCCGAGAGGAAAAGCCTAAACGGAAAATCATGTTCCGAGTTAAAAATGGAAAACCAAAGCAGAGACGCGATATCGAACAAATGCAACACGCACAAAGGTAAATCGGTAACCAAATCGACATTGTTTCGTACTAAGTTCTTGACGACACGATCTATCTCCCCGTCAGCGTCTAACAGGTACGCTAATGTCGGGATGGACACGCGTTCAGATTACGTTTCTCCCTACGACGTCCGAGCGCTCGGAGAACGCCGTCCGTGTATTTGTTGCGAAACACGTTTGGTATTGTAACCACTGTCGTACGTTCGGAAAAATCGAAGTGTGCTCGGTTTAAAGGGTTTCCGTCGGAAAACAATCCGTTCGTTTAACCGATGCGTGTGTGTAAGCTGAACCACCTGGATTTGTACATGAAATAGATTTCACTAAACTTAACCTAACTCGTTTTCGAATATGTACGTAGTATTGTCTCGACGAATTTCTCGTACACTCGACACGAAAAGTCAAAAAGTCGAACACGTGAAACGCGCTGCATTTTTCGTGCATATTAGATCGATCGTCTACGGATGACGTATTACACATCCGGCAAACTGTCATTTATTATACGGCTGGCGACAGTGTTATTTATTCTAGTCCTTACACAACTGTAAATATTTTTGAAATGTCTGTAAAAAAAAAATAATAATTTGTCTAAAAATATACATTAAATAAATTGTATAATATTTCTTAGTTTTCGATCGATTCGCGCATTAAATCGTTATAAAACGCATACACTTTATATTATTTATTTATTTTATAATGAAAAAAAACAAAATATACTGATTAGTATGTCTTATCATGCATTTATATCTTATATACTGTCTGTTGAATAAAAGAAAATATTTTAAAGGAATTACAATTTTTAAGATCCATAACAAATACAACCTACTTTTGATTAGAGTTATCGTGTAATTTAGCAAAAGTTTTTTTTTTTTTTTAGAGAAAATAAAGTAACTCACTTTACAATAGCTAAGTCCGTTGTTATTTTAGTGAATACTTTACTTAGATCCGCTTTCCATTCTTTAATTTTGCAACTACCAATATTTTAAATAACCTCAATGACTATCAAAAGTCACGTGCTGCAAATTCTTTTGAACATCGATTAGTAAAAAATACAAACTAAAGCAGTTATTTATGACTCACTCACCAAACTTAAATTTTGGCACAATTTTGCTCCGTTTTTATAAAATAAACAGACATTTTTCGTCATATATTTCCTAATTTACTTCTCTTTGTGCAAAGGACTCTCATTGTTTGAAATAAAATAACAACACATTAATTTAATTAATTATTATATAGAAATAATAATTGTTCTTGACTAGTGATTTGATTAACTTTATTATGAATTAGACATTTTTCAATCCTAAAAAATAAATACATTTTAATGCTTAATTCTTGTTATCATAATCATTTATGTTGAAAAGTAAAAATGATTGGTTAATAAATCAGTTAAAGTATAGTTAGTGATTACGAATTTAAAAGTATATTATGTGATGAAATATTTTACAATTTCAAATAATCAATAAAAAATGCATATTAACACAAAATGTTTATACGACTGATCATTTCATCAAATACCGGTGTAATAATTATTGGGTACACTCGTTAAGTATATAAAATAATAGTTTTCATTTTTGAGGTATATATTCAAAAAATCAGGATATTTAATCTGGTTACGTTTAATTATGTTTATTACTTTTAAGTACAGATAGACTGTACAGAGCACAATCTTTTATTCTGCTTATTAAATCTGCACTTGAAATATTTTTAAATAGCATTTCACATTATTTTGTTAGATTTTTTAGGAAAACATCTTACTTTAAAATATTAAATTAAACATGAATGTTCGAAATTTGAATTCAAAAGAATTAATAGTAATACTAATAATAATAACAGTATTAATAATAATAATATTAATATATTTCTCATACTTAAAAATTCCATTTAATTTAATCAAAATATATATGTCTGCTATCAATTATTTTCCCATCTCATTTGACTTCAGTCTGCGAATCATGGTATAAAGTATATAAACGGGAAACATTGATATTAATATTTAAGCTCCAATTATTAGACATTATTTTAAGAATGAAGTAGCAAAATGTAATTATATTTATTATTTTTTGTTATATTTTATACTAGGTACATTCTCTATAACCTATATAAGCTACATAAAGTATGTAAAATAAATTGAAACAGGAGTTCAGCATTTGAATAAGGCTAACCTTACGTTTAGTTGCAATATAAAATCTTGTAATGTTTATATAATGTATGTCATAAATTTCAAAGGGTGACCTTTGTTAAACGAGAACAACAATTACTGTACAAAATAATACATCTTATATTTACAGTGTAATACAATATAAACAATATTTATTTTGCCCTTAAATTGAATGTAAATTAATGGGTTTGATGCTTCGATTTTTGTCTGATAACCATTAAATACCATTTTAAGATTAATATTTTTAATCATAAAGGATATTTATATTTTTAAAATATATTGGGAGAGCTAAATTTTTACCATATGAACTTGGATTAGTTATAGATTGGCATCTAATATATCATAAAAAAATAATCATCATGATTATTATCTAATGTAGGTTAAGTTATAATTCATTTTTATATAGATCGTATAGTCCACTGACATTATTTCTCCTTAACATTCCGTATATAGTTTCATTATTTCAAAACAGAGATTGATGAGTTTTTTAATAGATTCTTTTGTCGAGAAATAATTTTTCCTGCGTTGGAAATCATCTAATCAATCAATCTTAAAATTGTTGATCCAATTAATAAAACTTCTATCAAAACAAATTGCATATTTCAAAAGTTTTAAAAACAATTAGGTACATCATAATATATCATAATCATATAAGTGCCACGAGAAATAATCTTATTATTTCTGTTATCTGAACTATTCGTGGTTATGTAAAATAATTTGACTCCAAAAGGAATGCTTCATAGGAGTAGCAAAAATTACAACTTACTTTTGAACTGACGTCCATTAACAATCTGTATAGAAAAAGCATTCAGTATATTTAAAAAATTGTAAATTTCCTGTAGAATTTGAAAAGCTATTTTTACCATTTTCTTGAATGAACAGATAATAATATAATAATGAATGATGTTTTTCAAACAATGTTAATTATCATTTTCGGTTTAGCGGACCAGAAAAGAGATATAAAAGTACCAATATAATATAATATTAGTTTATAACGGTGTCTTTTGCAGCAATTTTTTATTATATATTATGTTACTTATGCTTTAAATACTTACCAATGTAAAGAACAATGTTGTATATAATTCAATAAATATTCTACAAAAAATTTTATAATATGGTTTTCTTTTAATTAATGTTCTTATATTTTAATCACATGAACTTGATACAGATCTCTTAAAAAAACGTTTGATACCAATTTATAGCGATTTTTATGACTGTTAACCATTTGTTTTTTTTTTTCACTTATCTACACAGTTCTTGAAAATTCTTTTACTTTTTTGATAACGATCAAAAATTCATGATTAACACTTTTATTCATCATCTACATTATTGTCATGAAAACTCATACAAATTCACTTCTATACAAATAAACTTATCAGATTTTAAATAAAACCAAGGAGCACTTTCACAATTTTATTATTTCATCATTTTGTTGTAAATTTTTGTTGAATTATATGTGATAAGGATATAAAAATAAAATATTTTCTTCTTATAGACGTTTTTAGAATACCAATATTTTAATATAAATATAAAATACTAGGTATTATGTTAGGTATTATTAATTAGTATTAATATTTTCTCGTTGTTAGTAAAAATTTCAAAAAATTGGTATATAAGACAATACAATTCCAGCTTATAGAAGAAAAATATATGATTCTCCAAAGAAAACAATGTGATACATCATTGTTTGTGACTAAATAAAAGTTAAAAGGTAATCTTAAATTTAGAAAGATATAAAATACGAAATTTGTGACAAATTATATAACATACAGCTCAAAATAAAATTAAAATAAATGTTATTAGTTTTGATTAGTATTTGAATTTTCGGCCCTGCACAAAAACGTCTGTCCTAGATTTAGTTTATAATAACACGAGATAAATTTTAGACACACATGATTTAAAAATAATTAATTACTATCTTTTTAATATTATGAATTATAAAATTGTTTCATATATTTTATAACAACCTATAACAGTATATTTTATTCGTTTTTTGTCATGACGTAAAACAAAAGCATACAATACTTTCATATTCTAACCATTAATCAGGCTTTGTAATTTTAAATGATAAAAATTTTTAAATGTTCCGTCCAAACATTGAAAAACTTAAACATTTTTCAATTGAACAATAATCTTTTTTTTCGTCTAGATATACAATTAAATAAAGTGTGGATATAAAATAACTCTACATATTTTTGTCAAAACGCGAATAAATAAACAAAACTTGAACTTGCAAAAAAATTAAAAAATTAATAATTCAATTTTAAATATCGGTTTGCGTAACTTCCCTTTTCAACTGATTCACTTTTCGACCAAATTTAAAATAGGCCGATTCCCTTTTCTATCAAAAAAAATGTATATAATAAAATTAAAATAATAAAATAATAATGTACAATTATTGTCATTAATTATTAAAATATCAATATAAAATAGAATGATATTTTATATCTAGTTTTAATCTCTTATCGTATTGAAAATTGTTTGCATTTTTTTTTCAAAAATCAGAACTTTAATTTTAAAAATTTTAGGACTTCGCTCGTTACGCCTGCAAGCTCCACTCAGAAACTCAAGTGCCACTGTGTGATACTTTTGGGGGGAATGGGACTTCGTTCTAAGGGTATAAACCTAACCTAGTTTTTGTACAAACCTTGATACTGTTGCAAATGGGATTATGCTCTGTATGTGAACCTAAAACCTCTCTATGCGAGTAAAACCTTGAATCGTCATAAATATATTATAGTAGTTTCCATCATAATCAAACATTGTATATCATTATTTTATTATTTTAAATTTATTATATAAATTTTTGTTTTGGTCGATAAGGGGATTGGCCTATTTTAAATTTGGTCGAAATGTGAATCAGCTAAAAAGGGAAGAGTAGGGTTTTGGTCGAAAACGGACTCGCCCGCGTAAACTATGGTTAAACGTTGATTTTCTACGGGTACCTGTTTTCTCTATTATTTTTTTTCAATTACTCCAAATTAACTAATTAATTTACTATTAATCTAATTATTTTTTAATTAATTTTATTAAATTACTTAATTTCGTAGACAACTTGGTATAACATAGTCTTACGTGATATAAAATAAATAACAAACAATAACAATAGATGTATTATCATAGTGTGTGGGGTTAAAGTACATGATGAAAATATGGAAGGAACAGAATTCCATTATCAAAAAATGGTTACCATATTGCCATTCGATTTTATTATTAAGAATTACATTTTAAAATATGTCTTCTTTAGTTTCATATCTTTTGCTTATAAAATAACGTCTACCAATCAGGTTTCAAAAAAAATTAAAATTAACCTATCATACACATCATTACGCATGGCGCTTAGACCAGCGGTTACCAACCTTCTAGACTTCACGAATCACGGAAACCATAGGTTTACATTCTGCAAACCATTCCTACGAATTTTTAAACAATTTAAAAAAACTAACCAAATACATCATTAAGTGTTTTTGTATGTATTACAATGTAATACTATTACATGTTCATCCAACGGAAACCACACACCTCGACGTAATTTCATATACTTTCGCACATTATTATGATCAGGTAATGTGCATCCGTTGAAGGGTTGATAAAATACAATTCTTTCGCAGACCTCCGTATCGTTTTCTCTCGGATCACCGGTTAGAAACTATTGTCCTGGACGATACGAATGTTAATTTTTGTAGAGCCACTCACAATGATTATCATTGAGCCCACATCTAAGAACCGAGGGAAAGGTTCTTAACACTAGACTTCGTCTATTACGGCCTAATCTCAAGTCCGAACTCTTGATTGACAACAAAAATTTTCTGGGTCTACGGCATCCAAATATGAGGATATGCCGAGCCTTACCAAATATACAAGTCTATACTGAAGCAAAGTTTCCGGTCTATTTCTCTTTGTCAAATGACATGTGCGCAATATGAATCAATCGTAATCTTTTGGCGAATTTTTTTTTTTTTTATAGTTGCGGACACGACGATGGCAATCGTCCCGCCGATAATCACCCACACGGCGGCTACACCACAAGATTCGCCGAACGCCATGTACGAGACGAGGGATTTCCGACGGTTGCAATCTCTCACTCCGTACACGTTTTTGCCGTTGGACAGAAACGGTAGCGGATTTTCAATTGATTCGATCGACTGTTCAGTGGTACGTACGAAACATACGAGTAATAGGTTTACGGTACATCATCGGTTGCAGATCCGTTCACGTCGAACGAATCACACACGCGCATTTGGTCTGCACATTACACTCTATGTTCGATTACTATTATGATAATATTGTTGTTGTTCGTATATTATCGCACGACTGCCGTTTTCGCTTCGGATTTTGTCCGCAGAACAAGCAACAATCGTGTTGTCCTTGCGGGAATCCTCGATCGAGTACCAACTGATTCTATTTCAAAAACTATTATCAACGTTCAATAACTGCTAAAAACTTCCGTTGTCAGTTGTCCTCTAAATATTTAAATGCCGTGCATTCAATTGTAATAACGTAATCCCGGAATAACAATAAATATTTTAACCCTATCACGTCTTCGATGGTTTTGAAATCAACATTAATATCCATACGCATTTATACCGATTTTCGCTATTCAAATTGTATAACCATCAAGCGTATGATACGAAAAGTATATCACGTAAATACAATGGATTTGCGATGAGCACAAAAACTGTTTGACTCCTAAAATGCATAGATACTCGATTATTAATATTTTTATTGAAGAACAATTAAATTGTTTGGAAAACAGATTAGTTTGCCCACAACAATTTAAATCATTCGAAAAATTCCAAAAACTACAACAATGATTTCAAACCAAACCTATAACCTTACATCACAACCGTACGACCATTTTGTATAAAATGTTCTCCCAAATATTGTAATACATACACGTAAGTATTGCTTTAAAAGTGTTTTATTTGTTTAAACAATCACGACAATATTAACAACAATGCCCGTAGTTTTTGAGGAGTAACGCGAATACGTAATAATAATAATAGTTATCAGGAATAAATTAGTACGGAATCATAAAAACTTCATACTTTTAGGTTAGTTAGTATGCAATAAATGATTAACTTTTTTTATACTTTTTTTTCCGAGCAACTGAGAAATGTTGCCCTTGTTTTCTACCCGAAATGTATAAAATGTACTAGAAAATGTAAACACTTGCCAAACAAGTTTAAAAATATTAATGTATTTGTGCTTACAAAAAACTCTATTAGCATTATGGTTTTGAGTGTTATCACAACATATTTAATTGTTTATATAATGTAAAATAGCGTTCGTCAACAAATAGTTTGCAAAGCGTTTCCAAGCTTCCTAAAATCAACAGCAGAACCCCTCAGATATCCAGTCCTCAAAAACTAGTATCAAATCCAAGTTTTGAAACAATACCTGAAGATGTCACTTATAGGTAAGTATTAAATATTTAGTTTGACTACTACTCTGTAATTTGAATTGTTTTTAAATATATATATATATATAAGTTAGATTTTAAACTTATTTTGCTTTATTTTTCTTATAACCCATACGATTCATATGTTATCGAAGTAATACTGGCACCCGTTAAATCTTCGAAAGTTTTAATGCGATTTTGAACGATTGCATTCAGGCGCACTATCTGTAGAATTAATAATAATCATATGATTAATCACATTTGTTGTTTTAATATTAGGATATAAAAGAATTACATTTTAAGTTTTCATCTTTGAAATTTTATTTAAAACTGAAAAGTTTAGCCTTGGAAACCCTACTTTATGCCCGGGTGATATTTTATACAAAAAGGATTTTTTTTTTATGATGAATAGGATACCTAAAGAGTTACGTTCTAAAAACAATGGACAATACAAAATTACTATACCCATTGAAAAACCTTAAACATTTTTAAGTAAATTACATTCAGAGATACTTTCGGTGCATTTGAAAATTTTCTTTCGACTCGTTGTCTGCTATCATCAAGTATTCATGTTTGAAAAAATTACTTATAGCAAAAATCCTACGTTAACGTATTTCGGTGTTCGTAAAATGTTTATACTACTATTTTCCTATGTTTGTCTTAAATAAAGTTGATTTTTTCCACCATTACAAATCTATGCAAAAAATACCTATCGACGATCATAAGACTTCATATTTTTCGATGTGGATACCTGTATTATATTTATTTTTTCATCACATAATATTTAATCTCCTTTGACACGTGTGATGTTATGTGTACATTACAATAATACATACCTATTCCAATAATGACATTGAGCGAACCGGGAAGAACTAGGAGATTATTATTCACAAACAAAAAAAACAAATAAAGAAAAAATAAAAATATTTGCAGCGGTGAAAACGGTGAAAAACTTCAAAGGCGATATTCGTGGAAAATTTCGAGACCCTCGTCAAGGCGAAAGTCAAAGTTTAGTAATGCGGATGGCAATGATGACGACCAAGGGGCTCTGGTTTGGAACAACAATGGTCATTTAGGAAACGCTGCCGGGTATGTATAAAATAAAAATAAAAAAAACCATCTAAATCCGTTACCCGGTCGGAACACTATTTTTAGTGCATAGTTATAATAATAGATTTATAAAATAGTTATAATAATCGTTATATGTTACCACTATTTTTTTTTTGTGTTTTTCAACATCCTTCAGCAGCGTGCCGCCGGACCATTCTCAGTGCAACGGCGGCGTTTCCATAAGTCCATCGTTGAATTACCGCGCGACCAACAATGTATTGGCCGAGTACAACGGTGTTGAGAGATCTCCGTCGGCCGTACAGCAGGTATTTAAATACTTTTTCGTAACGTTTAAACTTTTCCAACAACGTGTTGAAAATGGTCATTTAACCCTGTCCGTTGTCTTATCGACCGGCATTGCGCCGAGCATTCGTTGGCCGTACAACGTTTTTGAAAAACAACAGCGTTATATTGTCCTCACGATCCAACTACGTTTTAAAAAATATATTGCTGTAACACATAACTTATAACATAGATTTGAGATTGATCTCACCCAGTCCACATACAGTCATCAACAGTAAACGTTTAACTTCGTTATGTGGATCTCAAATAATCATTAAAACAACAAAATTAAAGAAAATAAATAAAAACACAATTATTTCTCAACTCGATGTCTTTATTGAATATACTCGTATATAACAACAATCTAAGAATAATTCTTCGTGGAAATATTTATTTCGTGTACTTGGATGCGTCCTTATCGTCGAACCGTTTGTTATGAACTACATCGAACGTTCGTTTGGTCTATAATCGTAGACGGTTCTAGGGACGGGAAAACGTTGATAGTTAAACGTTCTCGACTTATACGAAGCGGTATATCTGAACGTGGGGGTCGCGCAAACGATTTCGTTTCGTACAACCGTTCACATTTCAGCACGCAAAAACTTCTAAAACGCTATCGAAAATTAACATTCGCTGAACATAATATTGTTTAACAGTTAACTGCAGCCGTATGTTTCATGCCGTCGGCTGTTGTTTCGTTTACCGATTAATAATAGTAATTTACATAAACACTACACGAAGCGCTACACCGTTGCAAAAGCTTAATAATTGTCTACATTATATCTTGTAGCCGGTGTAAACGTCGACTCGACTACATAATAATTCCAACCGGAACGGTATGATAATGTTTATTGATAGCTACTCATCAAGCGGGACGCGATGCCACGAAGGCGGAAAAAAAATTTAAAATGATTAATAACAAATATTATAGTTGATATTTTATGTTAATGAACGCAGAGCAGAGAAAAGAATACAATAATATGTCAAGCTGTCGGCTAAATGGACATGTTATTATGTCGAACGACCTGCCTACGGCATTTTTTCCTCTGTCCCATAATTTTAATATCATTATATTATACGCTGAATCTTTTAATTTAACGAATGCACTGCACTGCTCGTGACACGGTCGATTGTGCTACGCCGTCTTATAAAATACGACAAATTAACTCAATTCTCTAGTCCGATTTAATGCTTTCGTCGAAAGTGCTTTCTTTTTATCATTTGTCGAGCAAAGGTGCCTAACCTAAGCTATAATTTAGTTTTTGTATTCCTTGTGCATCTGATTTCAATGAAGTTTTATCTTAATAAAATGACCATATTTATGTGTTTATTAACCGTGTTCAAACTTGTGACTTCTAGACTAAACCCAACTTTTTATTATTAATACAAAACATAAACATGTGCACTCAAAATAACATCCTGAAAGCCAAAATGATAAATTGATAAAAAATAAGATTTAATTGTAGGATACCTATAATGGTTGTATTTTGGTTATTTATTTATTTTTTAATTAATTAATTTTTTATTTTTATTTGTTTATCGTTTGATACATAATTATTCGAAAATGTTGCAGTTATTCAATTAATAATAATTAACAATTAAATTAATTTAGTTATTTTATTAATTCAATTTATTTGATATTAGAGATCGTAAACTTAACAAACCATAAAATAATATTTTGAATATTATTCCAACTGTACTAATGTTGCTGATAAAACCATAAATTACCACGAAATAATAAAATTCATTAAGGATGACTATCGACCATGTTGATGCTAGTGCTATAAATATAACATGTTTCACAACAATGAAAATTTACTGTAATAAGATAAAAAAATGATAATTATTTTTTATGTATAAAATCCAGTAGTTAGAAATTTGAGATGTTTACAAATATAGAAACCATTAAAGGATGACATAAAGCAAATATAATGATAAGAAATTAGAAATACTTTTAAAATAAAAGAAATATATGAACTTACGAGTATACTCATTTGAATTATATGCAAATGAAAATTAAAAACTTTACTCGATGTTATTTTGGTAAATATTCATAGTCGGACGTTAACGGTTCCGAACGCTCGTAGAATGAAAATAATTATGGTCCTCGGAAGCAGTCATCCCAATTATGGTAATCGTGTTTTCGTAGCCCATGCGAATGGATATAGTTTTCAGCGCGCTGTCGTAATATCACCTGGATAGTAATTTTCACTCGAAACTAATTCGAACGTTATGGATCGCGGATATTTGTGCTTCCTTAACGGAGAATATTTCACGGTTCATCTTAAATTCTTTCACTCTAAACGCCTTTGCTCGTACGTAAAAACGCGTTTTATTCAAACGTGAAGCGATAGATATCTAGGACGTGTAGCAACGAAGGGGCGACCCATTGGTGGCATCCGGGCTTTTGTGTTTATGCAAAATATCGTGTGATTGTAAGTATAATCCCGCGAACTACTACGGTGCTCCCGCTAAGCTGCTCGGTGAACTGCTGAAATTCATATTCCCGACAGCGATATTGAAAGAATGTAAATTTCGCATCTACATCTTCGCCGTTATCTAAGAAACATGTCGACCGCATAAAGATTTTTATAAAAGAAATCTGTGGGTACGGCGCCGCGATAGAAATACAATTCCGTGGTTGATGTTTTATATGAAATATATTCGTATGCCTTTCGTATTATCATTTTGGCCTCGTAAAGACGCGGATAGCCTTTGCCGATTTGGCATCTCACCACGGAATACTGATGTTTTGAATTTCAACGATTACACCAGATCATAGTATTATGACACGACGGCGAAGTTGTACGTCAACGTTGCTTAGTCGAATAATTTGATTATCAGAAATAAATTGTTGAATGATAAGAGCGATTACTTATAAAATACGAAATAAACTTAACTTAAACTCTAATAAGTAATCTTGATAAGTAATCTTACGCTAAGGTATGACATATGCTAAAAAGTATACCCGCAAAAAAATAAATGGTTATAACAATAGCAATAAGGTTTAATGAACGCTATTTAGGATAAAAGAATAATGATACGATATTATAAAATAAATCCATAGGCATACCTGAATTTCAAGGGGGAACATAGAATGATTTTGGTTCCTTTTTTCAAAAAAAGTGTAGGAATATTTAATAAATCATAATGTATACATAAATATAAATTTTATTTTTATTTTTTACTGTGGTATATTAGTCCAAATGAATATGTTTTCCTTGAATCTCATATATTTTTCTCGGATAGCTTCAACTATAGATGAAATGAAACTTTTGTTGTCAATCGTAGTTGTTATATCAGTGGTTTTCAACCATTTTAACAATGCGGTATACTTCATCTTCAACAAAATTTCTATTGCACACTAATCCATATAATACGTAAACCATATTTTATATATCTATGTATTGTACACGGACAGTTTACAGTCTACTCTATTAGAGGGTTAATCATTGTGCAATATGTTATTAATACAATCGATCGATCGAGATGGCTGTGACGAGAATACGCACAATAAATAATATTATATGTATCTACGATTAGTTCGATCAGTTTTCATCAAATATCGATAATAATACTGATAAATAAATGATTATAAAACAATTTATAGATTTATCGTGGTACACTTCATGGGCTCTCACGGCACACTGGCTAAAAACCTCTGCGTAATATCATCTCACGTGCCTACGAACAGGGACATGGAGGGCTAAAGCTCCGGGGATCATACCTCCGAGAGGAACCGTCGTTTCATCTTTTCATATAATGTATTATGTTTAAGTATGTACTATATCATAGCCAACCAAATGTAAGCAAAAGAGGCCTGGAACCGATCAGACCCGTGGTCTTCAAAAGTTCTTGCCGGCCCTGCCTACGAAACGCGTGTCAGACGATGATTGTCCGTGATGCGACTGCCGATGCAACCGCGCGATTTAAATATGTATAACCGTTACTCATAAACCAATTGAACTAGGAGCAACGCTTGTACGCGCCCACCCGTACCACCAATAAGTTATGGTCGGACGCGCGTATGCAAGTGAGGGTTTCGGAGGGCTCGACTCTCATCGAAGGTTTGATTAAATTCATATTTGCACACTCATTCGACTATCCGGTTCTTGTCCGCGTAAGAAACACGCGGAAAAGGAAACGAAATCGAATTTTCTATCGCCATTGTTGCTTGTTAAAAATAAAATATTGCCGCTATCGTATTGACGCGGCCGTTGGAAAAATTTAAAATTTTTCCTCGAAATGTTTTTCCGGACATACGCTTAGTTGTGGTTATGTTGAGTTAATCTTCGACCGAACCACCTTATGCAAACGTTATGGCGTGATTCTCATTACTACTCATGGAGAAGGATTTCCGGATATGTTATGCACTGCACGTTGTGTTCTGTATAATTGAATAGTATTAAACCAATGGTACATGACGTGTCCTAAAACGTGCCGAAATTTAAATCATTTTCGTAGTCGCATGGTTTAAGAAATATATATTGCACGCATGTGATACGCAAACTTGACATTTTGTAATTTTAAAGAACAATTTTTTTTTTAATTCGTCTCTATACATAACATATGGTTTGTAGAAATCACATTAAAATAGATCTTAAATAAGCCACTGGGCTTGAGTACATTATAATGTACTGATTATGCAACTACAAAAAAAGAGATTTCATAGTTTTTTAACTATTAGACACCTGAAACTAATCTAATTATGATAAAATCCTATTTAAATCAAGAGCATTTCCTATTAGACGACATGGAAGATTTATACACACGCTTGATGATACTGTTGTTAAGAAATCATGTGTTCAAAAATTATTTGTTCGAAATATTATTTTTGTGAAAACAATATATACATAATATTGCGTACAGTACATTGTATATAGAAGAAATTACACCGTTTTCGTTGGTAAAAATAATAAAATAATCATTCACATTTAATTTTATACTTTACGTATTTGTACATTGCACATACCTATCAAATACTCGTAATTACAACATTCTTGAGTTAGTCAACTAATTCAAACTTCGAGTGCAAATCGGCATGGCTAAACTTTGTTTAGTTGATTCATAATTTCTTATAGTTTTTTTTTTCATAAGTATACACAGATTTATATACGGTTTTTTCTTTTATCATCTATAAAACTATATTTAGTTTATGGATTTATTAGAATAAATTTTAACAATATTTTACATATTCTTAATAAGTTTTAAAAAATTAATTTATACAGTGGAATATTTAATAATTTATAAAAATATCATTTTCCATTAATTCCTTCATTCTTTAAATTTACTATTTTTTTTTTTTTTTTTTTCAAACACATGACCTCTTTTCTCGTACGGCTCGAACAGTTAATTTATCCTCACTCCGATCTTATAACCGTCCTCCGTCTATCGTTCTCATGTTTCTCCAATACGTCTAAAACACGCCCGCGTTTATAACGTTCCAGAACAACACGGGGAACTACGGAGTCACGCCGTCGACCGGTTGTCAGTACAATTGCTGTCAGCCATGCGAGTCCGAGGCATGCGTCGGGGCCGCGGAGGAAAAGACTTCCGAGCCGTGTTGCGACTGCGACCTGGACTCCGGCACGACCAAGGCGCACGTGCGCAAGGTTTTCTATTTCTTCGAGGAGAAGGGTTGGCTCAAAGACCGGGCCGAGTACTCGCTGTACATATTTCCGCTGGAACACGGGTAAGTCGGAAACGAAATGTGTGCTTAAGTGTTTTTGTACTCTTGCGTAATGCGCATTATGTGCCCGTGAGACGTACCTCTCAATAACGATGTTTCTCGACCTGACAGTTGCAAGTGGTAGGTAGTATTGATGAAGGGTCATCAAAACAACGATAAAACCGATCGATGTCTGTTCTACAAATCATACGAACCTACTTATTATAATACACACAATTATACATCTATAAAAACAATATAATAACTCTACGATCATTTTTGAAGAGTTACAAAAAAAAACTTTGCGATTCGTAATAGGTTAAGTCGCAATAATTTTCTACGAATCCGCCTAATAAGTAACCGTGGAGATGTATTCGTGATTATTTTACTGTTATTTTCATCGTTATATGATTATTCATTATTTTACACGAAAGCTACCTTTACAGCGTGGCCCGTGATATACGGCCAATTAAAAAAAATACATTCTGAAAAGACTTGAGAACTATTCTTTCTGCACACATCCCTCTCTTTTTCTTTTTACTTTTTACCCTTTTGTACGAGATAGCGAACACAGCGGTAGTATAATTTAATAATATAATACGCGCGTACACGGTGCTCGTACGTTATTTCATACACATATATATATATGTGATATCATTGAATATAAATCATATAGAATTTATACTCGGTGCGGTGTGTTTTGTACGCTCCTGCACACGCGAACCTCCTTAATCCATCTCGACATTCGTTTAATAGGTATTATTATTTGCACATTTTTAATTTCGAACGTATCGTCATACCGCGACAAAATAGAACAGCGAAATAACAGTAATAACGATAATAATGATGATGGTGATCAGTGGCGTCGCCAGAAAAATAATTTGGGAGGGGTAGTTGAATTTAAATTTGAAATTCTCTCCCACATGAGTTACAACTTTTTTATTTTAATAATTTGATGAAACATAATTTAAAATATGTAAAATATGTTGTCATTTAGTTCATTGTAACTATGAAAACTGTTTTGTTTCTTGCCACCGACTCGATTCCAAGTAGTGCAGTCGATGATGTATTTAAATTTAATTAATAAGATATAAGACTTTAACTTTTTACATTTATTTTAACATTCAAAGTGTTTAACAAATTTTAATATAGAGTGACGTGAAGTTGCTTGCAGTTCCGTGACTAGAACTCATCTGAATTGTGGTCATTTCGGTCCCTCTTTTATATTGCTTGATTGAAGTCATTGATCTAGTTATTCTGTGATTTTCAGGAAATGTAGGCTCATATTTCTGAGGTCTTTGCACCTGCTATTTGTGTGTCGTTGCCCTTGTAATACCCACATTTTTAATTCATAGTATTCCTGATTTAATTCATACATAGTTTTTCTTGTTATATAGACCCGTATATAATTATAATAAAAGGATATGATATTACATTGTCTTTACAGTGTCTTTTAGTTTTGTTTTAAATTTAAATATATCGATTATTAAATGATCATACATATCCCGTATTAAAATATATCAATTATTAAAAAGATATTTATTATATATTATATGATATATGATAGCCCATAACAATTTAATGATGACATTATATAACAACATTATACCATGCCTATGTTTTAAAGTTATTGTATATTTTATAAAATAAGAGAGACATTTTGATACGGGTTACTACCCGTTAACCTCCTCTCCCCTAACTACACTACTGACGGTGATAATATATTATTTCGGTTGTTAAGGTGACCACAACATGGTTGTCGTCGGCCGGCAGATGCTCATAGAATGTGGCCCGAATAAAGACCAACGATTTCCACGAGATTATTTGTCCGTAAGAGAATTATTATCTTCCTTTTACGCGGAAATTTTCCGACGTCCGATTGTTGTGCGTTTGTAATTTCACCGGAGCAAAGTACAGACACTGTAAACCTTACTGCGTACTTCTCCACACAACCACCCTCTTTCGGCCTTCCTACTTTTCCAAACTTCCTTGCACGATGGACAGTTCGTGGAGGAAATGAGTTTGCATAATACAACATAACGTGGTGAAAGTGTTATGTGTAATCGTTACGCGCGAGTGAAAAATTCTATACTTAATATTCATAATATTACGCAGCGATCTGCCTACCCAGCTCCTCTACCTGATGCGAAGTATTTAAAAAATACCCATCGCTCAAACACATGTGTGCGTGTGTACGTTAATCATTACTATATACCGAGGTTTGTACTTAAAATTATCTATATTTTGGATTTCGCGGAATCCGATTGAAATGTACACATACGAGACCCAATACGATTTGTATAATCGCACATAACTCAAATCGCACACGAACATCATTAGTCGAGTTCCGTGCACGAACAAAACCCGCATTTTCATACATTTAATACATACATTACACGTATACGTACATCGACGAGTTTGTGGAAGTACACGTGTCAGTGTGCGCTTTGTTAACGCGAATACACACACACAAGCACAATTTTACATGGTATACACACATGAAAATCACATAATACGAAAAACTGTATATTACGTACTGCAGCAGATCCAGTTAGTCCCGTCGCTCATGCTGTGACGGGCAATAACTTATTACGGTTTATACACATTACGAGTACATCCTTGTTCATTCCCGACGCGTGTGTAATCAAGTTTCAGACAATCGTGCGGAAAGTTCATCAAACAAAAATGGTTCGACAACTTGGTGCTCATGTTCATAGCGCTCAACTGCATCACGCTGGCCATGGAGAGACCTAACATCCCGCCAGACAGCACTGAGAGAGTGTTTTTGGGAACGGCCAATTACGTCTTCACCGTGGTGTTCGCGCTCGAGATGTTTGTCAAAGTAAAATTGCATTATACTTTATAGCACTTTATTTTCTTCTTTTATCCGCTCAATCTCGCTACAACGCGCACGTAGTTTCCATGTGTCCTTCCTCACTCCTCTTCGTTTTTCGCTGTACAAATCTTAACGACCCATCGCAAACAGGTCGTCGCCGCCGGCATGTTCTACGGCACCGAACCATACTTCAAGTCCGGCTGGAACATTATGGACGGATTGCTGGTGGTCGTGTCCATTATAGATCTGCTCATGTCGTTGATCTCCGAGAGTAGCCCAAAAATATTCGGAATACTAAGGGTAAGCAATTTGTTGTATACGCATCATACTCGTAAACATTACGGGACCGTGGACAAAGTCCTGTCGATCCATAAAGTCTGTACGCAAATAACGTTCATCGCCGCGCACTTAAAACGCGTTAAAACAATTGAAAGCTACACGTCTATCTGTGTCCCGCCCTGTATACGAGTACAATGTTTAACGTGTTGTTACAAAATATTATGCTTACGTCCGAGTGGCCTCGTAAACGTATTCAAATTGTACTATACGTCATGCAGTATCGCGTGCAGTGCAATGCACGTACGGTCCTGTGTTCACGAAAATAATACACCGCCGTTGTATGGCGTTCGCAGGTTTTCAGACTGCTCAGATCGCTGAGGCCGTTGAGAGTGATCAACCGAGCCCCGGGTTTGAAACTGGTCGTGCAGACGTTGCTGTCGTCGCTGCGGCCCATAGGCAACATCGTACTGATATGTTGCACGTTTTTCATTATTTTTGGTATTTTAGGTGTTCAAGTAAGTGTAAATAACATCTCACAAAATACTATACAATACGTCATATAATATTATGGGACATTTTTGTTCTTTACACGTTTTGTCTGTGCGCAAAACCTGTTTGATGACACGTCAAACGCGTGTGTTTTGCATTGATGTATATTCAACAACGTCGAAATATCTAATTAGCAAACATGTGCTCGAAAATAATTCAACACCGCCAGATAATCTGACGTAATTTCGTAGTCATTTTAATTAACTTCGGTTCGAACCTATTATCAAATCTAAATCAAATCGGACGTTAAGTACATGCTCGCGTTCTACTTTGGTTAGCAGCCGCGTATAAGGATGACAACGATATATCGAAAATATCGATACATGATGTCAATATATCGTCTCGATATTATTGTGTCTAACGATATTTTAATGTGATTAATCTTCGGGAAATCACCAATAGATATTATTACATACTATTATAAATTATTTGGGATGTAATATATAAATATTAATACTCTTATATTAATAATATAGATAAAATTATTTTTAATTATAATTTTCTAGGCGTGTACTGCTACATATAAAAATTGCAATTTAAATTTATTAATATTATTCTGGTTTTATAAAATATTTTATAATGTTGTTAAATATATATGTTTTGATTTATTTATCATTGCTCCTGCAGTAAGTATCGATTACAAGTTACGGCCTCGGCCTACGGATTGTGGTTATAAATTGTATTAAAATAAACTATTATAATATAATAAGTTATTTTAATACAATTTATAACAATTTACAATTTACATATATTATATGTTCTAAGTGCAAGTCTATAAACTTTTTTAATATTGGAAAAATGTTCCAATATACATCGATATATTATAGAGGACGATATATCGTGGTATCGATATTGGGTATGCGTTGTATCGAAATTACGAAATATCGATGGTTAACGATTTTTTGCCATCCCTAGCCGCGTGTGCTCGTGCACTCGTGCAGCCATACCCAATAATAGTAATATTCCTTCTGGCTTCAAGTGTTTCACTGTTAACCGCTCGATGAGTGACATGTAACCGCTATGCACGCGAGCTCCGTGTTCGCATATAAGTTTCAGTGCGTAGGCCCCCCAGTATAGTGATTGCATTGCATTAAACAATATTATATTTTCAAATCCATAATACCTGTTGTACGTCACATTAGTGCAATCGTTACACAACCCTAACAAGTTTATCGGCGTGAAATTACACTAAGTACAATGCGTTCAGTGCATTCCGCGTTTAACGTTCATCAGATTACAATATGGGATCGTCTGAAAAACTACTACTTGTACGACTAGACGCTTTTTTTTTTTTTATTAGATTTAGTTTTGACGAATCCATATTATACTAACGTTTCAAGAATTATTTGACTCCCCGTCGTGTTGCTTAGTCTCGATCAACAGTCGAATTTGAGCTCAATCGAAATGTTTCGTTTGAAATATTGCGTTTAATTAATATTAAAGACAAATACAAGTAAAATCCTAGTACAATTAAGACTAAATTATATTCTCTTAATCTCTATACACTAGTAAATAATTACTTACTGTTAGTTCGACTGCTAAACACTATTTAATGATTTATTATTAAATAATTGTAAATATAATTAAGAAACTCATTTTATGAAATGTATATCATACATATATATATATATTCTAGTTTTTCCATCAATTTTACCAACAATTAAAAGTTTCCGAATTGCTTGTTACATTATTTCTAAATACAGTTTTACCATATTCGTAACTATTAATTATAATTTCAAATTGAGGAAAAAAACGCTTCACTGAGTGTTCGTAATCAATTTTTACTATTTTACTGAAAATATAACCATCAAAGTGAATATAGACGTTGTTTTTATTTATTTTTTTTATAATTTCATAAAGCACCGATCGTTCGCATACCTTATGATAATAAACAAATTATTTTCTTACACCTCAACAATTTTTCGATATCCAAAACTTATTGAATTAAATAATTCTGATTTTAAGTTAAATCAAAAGCCGTTGCATTCAAAATTAATAAAAATAATTGGCAAACTAATAATTTGCGCTTTCATTCAATAGCGCATACTCATGATCGTGTAAATGCTCACACAGCGGTGTTGAGGTCAACCTTTAGCACAGTAAGTACTCAATATCGACTAAGTGCTGCACATGTTCATTATCGTTCGTCTCTTAATTCAAAATATCCGTCGAGCGGTAATGCTATTACATTTTAATTGCTCGTTAAATGGGGTGAAATAATTACTATGACGCAGTTCCGATCCAAAAGAGTAGGTGTAGCGTTTCATGGATATAAACGCATTGCAACACATAATGGATTTATAATTACAACTACAGGCGAGGGGAAAAATTTTGCAAAAAATGATGGTGATAATAACAAAAAACAAGAACGGTTTTAGAACGTTTGGTTTCCGTGTTAACAGCTTTTCAAAGGTACGTTTTTCCACTGCGAGGGTCCCAATATCAAACACGTGCGCGACAAAAAGGAATGCCTGGCCGACAAGAAGAACGCATGGGTCAACCAGAAGTACAATTTCGATGATCTGGGTAAAGCATTGATGTCTTTGTTCGTGCTATCGTCAAGGGACGGGTGGGTGAATATCATGTACACGGGGCTCGACGCCGTGGGAGTTGATCAACAGGTAAACACAGATAAATCATTCCGTAGCGCCGGCTGTCGTAATATTTTAGCGATGGTTTATTTTTATCATTTTTTTTTTCTTTCCACCTCTCCTCAGCCCATAGAGAACTACTCTGAATGGCGGCTGTTGTACTTCATATCGTTCATACTGCTAGTCGGTTTTTTCGTACTCAACATGTTCGTCGGCGTAGTGGTGGAAAACTTTCATCGGTGCCGGGAAGAACAAGAAAAAGAAGAGCGCGTCCGACGGCTGGCTAAAAGGGCCAAGCAGATGGAAAAAAAACGAAGAAGTAAGTGACCGGGGAAATCCTGTCACAGAATTATAATAACGATAATAACAGTAATAACAACTACAACGGGACTTTTTTAAAACATACGTTGTTTCTATTAGAAATGCACGAGCCGCCGTACTACAGGGACTACAGCAGTGCCAGGTTATTGGTGCACAGTGTGGTCACGTCCAAGTATTTCGACTTGGCGATCGCCGCCGTCATTGGTCTCAATGTGGTCACGATGGCACTGGAATTCTACATGATGCCCAAAGTAAGTTTGGCCCCGGTCGGTACTACTATTACAGCTACTACAAGATTATGACCTTTCACGGGACAAATCCGTCGATGTTTCTCTTGCAATGCACTCATTCGCACTGTCGCAGGTTTCGGTATTTTTAATTTTAAACTCCGAGCGAGGCGAAACGTTTTTTTTACTTATCTTCTTGTCATTTTTTTCTAGTTAAAGCGCCTTCTAAAAGTTTCCTCTACCACGTGAAAACGTTAAAAAAAAATAAAAAAATAAAAAAAAACCGTTTACGTGCGGACAAACCATGTCCGTGTTATGGGTACATGTTATTTATTTATACACTCCTTATTCGTCACTCACCTTATAGTCGTTTGTGCTTGTGAAGAGTGTGATGTGTACTCTTCTATACTTATATTAGATCAAGAGTTCAATATTAGCGAACTAGACTTCCGTCGGATAAACACAAATACAATAAGTTGGTAAATAAACTAAAAAAAAATTTCATTAAACACAAACTAGCATCATTTGAAAATCACTTATCTAATCTTTTAAATAAAGACAAAAGTCTTTGGAAGGCTACCAAACAAGCTCTTAATTATAAATCCACTAATATTCCCATCAAAAAAGATAACGGCACTTATGCTACTAAAGACTCAGATAAAGCAGAATTATTCAAAACCCATCTACATAATACATTCCAACCCCATGAAAAAATAATAATTTATGACATTATCAACTCATTAAACCAGTTTCTAGACGCTCCTCTTCTACTTTCTACTCCTGTCAAACGTTTTTCACCAAATGATGTCAAGTATATTATTCAAAAATATCCTAATCAAAAATCTCCGGACTATGACTTAATCACCGCTGAAGTTAGTAAGCATCTTCCAACAAAAGCCATAGTTCACCTCACTTATATTTATAATGCTATATTAAGACTCTCTTATTTCCCAACTGTTTGGAAATTCTCATCTATTATCTTTTTTCTAAAACCCAACGAACTCCCATACTTAGTTCCGTCTTACAGACCTATAAGTCTTCTACCGTTTTTCGTGAAAATTCTTAAGAAATTAATTCTCAAAGGAACTTTACCAAGCATAAGTGAAAACAAAATACTTCCTGATCATCAATTTGGTTTCCATCAATCGCATTCTACAATCCATCAAGTCCACAGGATTGTTGATGCGATTTCCTTCTCCCTAGACAAAAAATTATATTGCACCTGTGCTTTTCTTGATATATCGCAAGCATTCGATAGGGTGTGGCATAATGGCCTGCTATTTAAACTCAAAAATTTCTTACACCCAACCTACTACCTGCTCATTAAATCATACTTAACAGACCGTAACTTCCGAATATGTTACGACTCCTCTGTCTCTAGCATAGCCTCTATAAATGCAGGTGTTCTTCAAGGAGGTATGCTTTCCCCGATACTTTACAACATTTACAAATCAGATCAACCTACCACACCTCAAACGCTAATCGCAGAATATGCAGACGATAAAGCAATAATTTCCATCAACGCTAACCCTCTGGTAGCTACTAAAAATGTACAAAACCACCTACATCTTATAGAAAAATGGTATACCAACTGGAGATTCAAAGTCAATCAAGATAAATCCTTTCACGCTACTTTCACTCTAAAAAAAAGTCTCCATATCCAAACGTTAATCTCTACGGAATCCAAATTTCCTCTTCCCAAACAGTAAAATACCTAGGACTTCTATTAAACCACCATCTAACTTGGACCCCACACATAAAATCAAAAAAGTTACAATTAAACAATCGCTTACGCACACTAAACTAACTGTTACACAGAAACAAACACACTAACCTAAACATCAAATGAATAATATATAAAATTCTTCTAAAACCAATCTGGACCTACGGGCTCCAGCTTTGGGGCAGTGCAAAAAAATGTAACATACAAAAAATTCAAAGTTATCCAAACATCTCCCTAAGAAAAATAACAAATGCCCCTCCCTTTGTTACCAATCTTACACTCCATAATGATCTAAAAATAGCAACAGTGCTTCATCAAAATGCTACTGTAAAAGATTTCACACCAAACTACTTTTTCATTCTAATCCTCTTATTAAAAAACTATCTACCTCGTCCATCCCAGGTAATTCCCCTAGGCGGCTTAAGCGAAGATGGTGTCATGACCTCCTATCTTAATTCTAAAATTAACTTAACTTAAATCTTAAAAAAAAAAAAACAAACTCAAACAGGTAGTGTCACTAATGGGTGGCTTCTTCTCTCAAATAATTCATATTTAATTACTCTGTGCACATTTGCTAATTGTTCTAGTTAAGAACAGATTGTAAATTTCTTATAAAAAAAAAAAAAAAAGTGATGATATTGCTTCATTGCCTACCTTTTCGGCTATTTCGTTGCCAGTTATGCCAGTGAAGAGGAAACCCACTGAAATTCAATTTTTTTACTCGAATTATATCACATTTCATAATTTCATTTTTGAAGTAAGGATTTTCAAGAGCTAGGAGAACACTGAAAGATCCATTAACAATTGATGTGGTATAAGTATTCATTACGCTTTTTTCGGAAGATGATGCTTTGGGTTTTGAATGATGAAAAGTTAAAGCCTGTCGTGGTTGACCATTTAAGGAGTTCGTCTACTGCCAGCTAAATAAGTTCAACTGTTGTTTTTATGTTTACGCCGCTGCAAAAAATGGGTTGGTTAATATTTTCAAATGTATATACAATAGTTTATGCGACTTTTATCTTGTACTATGATCCACAATATACGTTGATCGATTTTTTTTTCAATTTTGTCTCCACACACTCGAAACGCGTATTTGTTTATTGCAAACGTGAGAGCTACTTGATTAAAAAAAAAAAAAAAAAAAAAAAAAAAATCACCGTAAACGACAATGGTCTATTTGCTTTACAGGCGTTGACGTACGCGTTGAAAATTTTCAATTATTTTTTCACCGCCGTGTTCATATTGGAGTGCGTGATGAAAATGTTGGCTCTAGGTATTCAACTCTACGTAAAGGATAAGTACGTATATATATATAAAAATATATATACAATATGTGTATACGGGAATATAAGTGAACGAACGTTTTTCAACAGCGTTGCACGCTGTAATATTAATTATAATAATACTGCATCAATACGTTACGCACTGTTATTACGTATCGGGGAGTTAATAGATTTTTCTTTTCTCCCTGCAGATGGAACTTGCTGGACATCGGCATCGTTATACTGTCCATAGTGGGTATCACGTTGGAAGAAGTCGAATCGAAAATCATACCGATAAATCCGACCATCATCCGGGTGATGAGGGTCATGCGGATAGCTAGGGGTGAGTAATACATCAATAAATAAATAATTAAAAAAGTGTGCACCAGTGCTTAGCATACGTTTAAAACGCAGAGGGTACGTAGGTGCAAGTAGCGTACTCGCGTTTTCAGGACGATTCGTGGATATTAATTTTCCTCTTCCGCGGGGGTGAGGGGATGTCCCAACAAAACAAATCGAACACGCGGCCACGTTATAAGCTCTTAATCTCCAAATGTGGTACATGCTGGAGCCAATTAGTGAACCAACTTGACCGTACGGACCATAATATCGTAGTATTACAAATACATATGACGTAAAAATGTATGTTCTGTGTGTGGTGTGTGTGGGTTGGTGGATTAGTACGTGTGTGATATAGTTTCGCAATTCGTATGGATAATGATAATGAGAGGACGTGTTTCCGTTGTGAAAACTAAAATCGTTCGTTTAAGTTACTTATTTTGCGTAGACGACTACAATGGAAGAATTAAATGAATCCCGAACGCCCGTTATTCGTAAATGCCTGAATTTGTGTTCGTGCACTCGAGTATTATACGTGATCATATGTATTGTTATTAAACGTGAACACTGTATAACAATTGACCGTGGAGGATTTTAACGAATACGTTTAATTCGTTCGGGGAATATACTCTGCGAATTCGAATACTTTTCGACGACACGGAAACTGGACCTTTGGGATCCAAGTGAACGCGTGTAGTCGGCCATTCGTTTCACTTGGTCCGGTTTACTCTTCCGTCTAGCCGTTGTTAAACCAATGCGAGCCCAAAGCTAAAACTTCGGCGTTTGTGTACCGAATAAAGTATACAGGTCCCGGGGTTTTTATATTACTAGAAATAAACAATCGGCAAACATTTTATGGATATTAGATATCGGACTACGTTCTGCTGGTGGTTTGTTCAAGTTCGTAATAATATAATGTTTACGTGTTGGTATCCGGTACTCTAAATTGTTTATCGTACCGAACGTTATTAATACCTTCATCGTAGTTCTAGTTTTCGCGGTAAATATATGTATATAGTAATTATTGTTGTTGAATTTTTACTTTTTTTCTCCGCAGTTTTAAAGTTACTCAAAATGGCCAAGGGAATAAGAGCTCTTCTGGACACCGTGATGCAAGCGTTGCCTCAAGTAGGAAACTTAGGGCTTCTATTTTTCCTATTGTTCTTCATATTCGCAGCGCTGGGAGTAGAACTATTCGGAAGACTTGGTAAGCATGAGAAATAATTATAACATTGTAATGCTGTTTTGAAACTGTACTTTTATACCGCCGAATCTCTCATTCTTTAATAATTTTTATAAAAAAAAACTATTGTAAATAATATACTAATATATGATATGGTTCCCGACACAAATAAAAGTTATAACTTTAAAATAATTAGCTCAAGCTCCACATTCTTGGAGCTAAGGATAGGTTTGTGGTCAGCAAATATAAAATAAACTTTCTTCTTTCCGGAATTCACACCATTAACAAGGTTATTTTTTTATCATACTCACGATTGACCCCTTATTTATGATAAAATTATATAAAACCATTAATTATAAAAAATTTTACTATATTATAAAACTATATTTTCCACTACATAGATTTTTACCTTTCAAGAAGTAAAACTTCCTATGGCATTATAATTTTTCATTTTCCAAACATAAAACCAATTTGGCCCACGCGAATAGTTTTACAATTAATTTTTCTAGAACTTATAGTGCAACATAAAAGACATTTAGATGAGTACTATCAGAATAATTGAAAATCATAATTTCATACGAAAAGTATAAAATATTGTTACTTTTTTTTTTTGTCGTTACAACATATAGATTACGCAAAAATAACGTAATTTGTAGTTGAAAGCCAATGTAGACTATTAATATAAGTAGGTGAGACTGCATGGTAGTATATAGGAATGGGTTAACGATATTACTGTATTAATGAGTGTTCGTTTTATTATTTTAAAAGTTGAAAATGATTAAACCTTTTGAGCGATCAGCAAACCCCTAAACCTATCACAACCATATAAAGAATATCACAAATCATTAAAACAATATATTTATATCTGTGTAATAAGAAAATATTAAAAAAAATATATGGAACTCCCTACCATATTCCTTAACGATATTAAAAAAACAAGTACGTGTATGTGGCGTGTGTGTTGACAGAGTGCAGTGACGAACACACTTGTCAAGGGCTGGGCGAACACGCTCACTTCGGCAACTTCGGTATGGCATTCCTTACGCTCTTCCGGGTGGCTACTGGTGACAATTGGAACGGCATCATGAAGGACGCCCTTCGCGAGGACTGCGATGACGCGGCAGATTGCGTGAAAAACTGTTGCGTTGCCTCCGGCATTGCTCCGATGTTTTTCGTCATATTCGTGTTGATGGCCCAATTCGTGTTGGTCAACGTGGTAGTCGCGGTGCTCATGAAACACCTCGAAGAATCCCACAAACAGGTAAAGAAATATTTTATAAAACTCTTGTGCATATTTTCAAACGACCGTCGGTTATAAAAAATCGATCACGACTTTAATTGAATACATTTAACTAATTCAGTCAACAGATTAATACGATCGCCATACAACCGCTCGAATTCAGATACGAAACATTCACATTCCAAATGTCAAAAGCTTTTAGTTATTAAAATATATACGCGTGAATGATACAATTCAATGGGTGAAATTTATTCATAATTCTTTTTATTTTTATAACTTGTATAACCTATGATGGATTCCAGTTTAGACTTAATAATAATGATACCAAAGTGGTTATAATAGCACTTAAAACCGATACCAGAAATTAAAATAAATATAAAATTTCGAACGCCCTCTTGTATATATTTATTGAGGATAATTAAATAATAATAGTGTTATAATAGTGTTTAAAAGTTTATTTCTTGCTACTTATAATTGTACTTACCATAATTACTATAAAAATACCCTAATTAGCCAAATTACTACTTATATTTAGTTTTTAAATTATTCTATATGTGTTCAAATGTTCATGAAATGTATGATTGGTATTTTATAAGAATTAATAGTCGAAAATATTTGATATTAGTTAGTTGCTATTAAAACCAATAAAAAATATTAAAAAATATTCATATTTCGATTTTTTCTACTTTTGTCTATTTAATTCGACAGTATCGTTAAAATAATTTGATCGATAAAAATTATTTTTATAATTTTTTATTTCAACACAATATAAGAAGTGGTTAATAAACATAAGTAATCACCTTTAGAAAATTTAATGTGGTGAGATATATTTTGTAATTTTATTTGACAAATGCAATTTATAGTCATTCACAACTCTGAAGGGCATTAAACTCAAATTAAATAGACTTATCACAGAAATTTATTTAAATATAAAACAAATATTATATATTATAAGTATTATAAATTAACACTTTTCCGTAAATATAAGCACATATTGAATTATAATATTAAAAGTGCATTTAGAAAATCTAAATTAATAATAATTACAATTATTCGTGAAATGGTTCAAATTTCTCTAGCAATTTGATTGAAACTGCCACAATTATACGTAAATGTTATAAAATCTAAATAAACCGCTATAATAGGATGTATAATAGGAAAAAAAATAACAATCTTATGGCCAAAATCTCTACAGATAGAACGACGTTATCCGTCATATCGGTTTTGATTTATTCGGATTTGAATCACCTCAGGCAATACAATTATTTCCATGAATATAACTCATACTAGTTTCAAAAAATATATTGTTTTTAACTCAAAACTCAAATCTCCGAGGAATATAAACCATCAATTAATCAATTAGGTTCAATAAACCATGAGCTAATCGATTATTTGCGGGAACTTTTCTACCGTCATGAAAAGTTTGACTCGTGCATTATGTATTATTTTAAAGCCTGATGGCCTTTTGACTATATCTTAATACCACTAAATACTACTCGTATCAATATAAATATTATAAACTATAATTTGTATTTTTCAATTTGATTGTATACAAATATTGTTTCAGATAAAACCCTTAATATCAATAATAAATATAATACAAAAATTATAAATGTTTTATAAAGCAAAATATAAAAAAAAATGTAATAATACTAATTATACTACTAAATAACAATAATTAAAATAATACTAAGAATAAATATTAAACTAACATCTCGAAATCTGATAGAGGAATGTTCAAAGGATTCTTATTGGCACCAAGCTTGGAGTCTGTGATTAATTTAAAGTTTTAGATCTATGAGAGAGACACAAGCAAAAACCTTTTTCTTTATAGGATCTTAGTTTATTTTATTGTAAATATTAGAAAATTAAAAGTGTAAAACTATTAAATCATAATATTTTCCTATAGCCGATCGTTAAAGTAAAAATTAAAATACATATTGAAACTATCCCAGTTATCAAAATTATCAAATTACTTAAATAGTTTGTAGGCTAGAATAAATGCGTAAATATTAAAAGCATAAAAAATAATAATAACAATAATAACGTATAATTGAAACTAAACAAAAATTAATTATAAATATATTTGAAAATAAAAATCAACAACCAATTGTTCCTCGTGTTGAATGTTAAGAAATGATTGCATCTGATTTACCTTTATGGATATGGAAGTTTCCATCATCCATCATTTGAAGATTTTTTGGAGAAATAAACTACAATATAATATGATTACTAGTGCCGTAACTAGAGGTTAGCATAATGGGTAGTTGCCAAGGACGCAGCAAAGCAAGGGGACGCATTTGAGTTAAATTAAAATTGGTTTTTTTTTTGTACAACATAAGTGCCAAAACAAAATTGTCTAAGGGCACGAAGGGTAGTTACGGAACTGATGATTTTGCTCACTCGAGTATACAAAAGATAACAAACAATACAGTTCTGGTATTTTAATGAAGTAATAGCTCTTTCTCGTACAAGATCCCATCCGTCGATTTCGGTCGGTATGTTTAAAGTACGTACGAACGTCAATGGCCGTTTCATGAACGGTATGCCGTTTAAATGAATAAATCTGGATTACAGTGAATATAATAATTATAATATCTGATAATGATTGTAAAATTGTCAAAATTTTATTTTCGAACTTGTATAATATTATATAATATTATTAACGAATATTATGTTTGACTATAACATGGGTGTCAATAAAGATTTTGCTGTGATTTCCGCTGGGGTAAAGTAGGCTTAGATGTAATTTCATTTGTAACTAAAATATATTAATAAGATGCCTATTATTTAATCAGATTATATATTTTTGTATTTGATCCATTGACCATTCATTGTCCATTCATGCTGTTCTTTATTATCATTATTCATTAGACTTCGTAAGTTTGCATTTATGACAAAATTTAATTAGTAATTAGATAGAAAATATAATTTAACATTTTCTGACCGATTTTAAATGATATCTTTATTTTACACTTGATTTCTTAATCCCCACAGTTAAAAATAAATAAATAAAAAACTATTAAAATTTGAAACTTCATAGAACTTACCTACTTTAAAAAAATATGTAATTATTAAAGCTTAAAAATACGATAGTTTATGTTTACATTTTATAAATACTGCCCTATTTCAATACTAATAGAACTGTTGCAAATTTAATGAAAAATAACGGACACTACAAAGGAGAAATATTTTAAATCATATTTATCGTTATGAGTTATTAAAAATGATGAACTCTTAGAGGTTGATCTTAGTATGATATTGCATGTATATAAATAATTATAATTATTACATAATATATTATATTTTTATATTATACTATTATATATGTTATGGCACATGGGACTGCATCACCACTGCTCAGAAACGTCTTTAGAAAAAATACATTATATTTAAGAGAACTTAAAGAAATGCGTTTAGTTATCATACGAAACACACTTAACATTATTTATAAACATTTATATTCTTAATATGATACACAACCATATGATAAACAAACACTTTTCTTTTACTAATAATCTTGATTATTATCACCGTATTTAAAATATAATGATTTATATTTATATTCCAAGATCAATTCATATTTTATTGTATGTTTTACTTTTTTAAATTCAAGAATTTCACTTATATACTATTTTATCCACATTTTATAATATTGTAATAAATATGTCTGAATTTTACAACTATGTCATACAGAAATCCCAACAGAGTCACTTTAAATAAAGTTGTTTCTTTCTGGAATAAATATGTAATATTACACTGTGAAATAGTATCCCATTTTACTTAAAAATACTAAATTACAGAATTTATTATTTACAAAATTTTCGTTTTAAATCTCGGAACAATAAATTTGTAAAAATCAAAACAAAATAAAGCAAAATTAGTGGATTAAGAAATGTAATTTACTTTTCCTTTATACTGAACGTTTTTGCAGAGAAAGGAAATTGCCTTTGATGTTCTTTACTAATTTCGAATCTTCTGCGAGACTGAGAGATTTAAAAATAATATCATAGAACATTTTTATAAAACAATAAAGTAAAAAAAAAACTTTAAGATTCATATATTTTTCGATTTCCTTAAACATTTAAAAACCAATGCGAGACTGATTTTCTTTATGTCTATCCTACACATTTTAATTTCACTGAAAATTATACATTGACGATACCAGTTCTCTAGGCATTTGGTTTAAAATGTACACCTGTACATGTAAAATATACACATTAGTACTTCACGTATCCGTGCAACATGGATGAGTAATGACGTATTACCGAGATATTAATCGCACCAAATATAATTATTTAAATAACGTTCCTTACTGAAAAAATAAAATAAAAAATACGTTACGTTCATACGTGCATTCATATATAACATTATATCAATATAACATTCTGTTCTAAACGACAAATACCCGTACACATTTCAATTCATGTGACATAAAACGTTCGAATGAAATGTATACGTTTTCGAAATACTATCTCAAAAGTTGTACGAAAACATTGTTATAATGAACAACTCGTGGTACCATTGAGTGAGTTTAATGCGATTTACACTGCTAAAGAACACTGCCTTTGTGTACTCTGTTATCGTATTATACTTACATTCGTATAATTTCCGTTGGAAGTTGAGTGCGAAACAATGATTTTAGAAGATTGCACTGTCACACGCATTATGTGTTTAATCACTACGTGTTTTAGAAAGTTTTAGTCAAACTTTGCAAATTTGTTTTGAATTGTATCAATAGTTGAAGATGATTACGGAAGCTTCTTAAGTCGCCAACGGATTTAACATAAAACTGATGGACCGATAAAACTGATATTTTGTCAATAAACCCTGGGATATGCCATATACACTCATATATACTCCGAGGGATATTCTCAGTTATTGTGGACAGTTATATTTATAAGAACGTTTCATAGAACTGTTTTTGTGAACCATAACTTCTGCGCATTTCATCAATAATTATATAGTTCTATAATATCTCTTATACGTTTTTTGAAATACTACTTAAACACTTTTTAAACGAAAAACGTATTTGTAGCCCAAAACGAAATATATGTTCACATTTATCAAACTTTTTCTGTGTTAAATAGCATTTCATTGATCACACGATTTCGTTGATTACACGGTAATAATACAATCACGGCGTTCGTTTGTCACAGAGATAATATAGGAACGAAGAAAAAAAATGTTATTAGCTTACTATTGTTAACACGAAAATAATTATAAATAATTACATTATTGTATTTATCCACAGATGGAAGACGAGATGGACATGGAAGATCAGCTGGAGAGGGAAATGGCCGCGGAGGAAGAAGAACAATTGGTTCAGATGGCGCTCGACCACGAGTACGCGAATCAAAATCCACTGTGCAAAGAGTTTTCGTTGCCCGCCGACTTTACGTTCAAAAGTCTACCACCTTCGCCTCTATATCAAAGTATGACGTTGATGAAGAGAGACAATTGGGGGAGGAATGGTGAAAACGAACACCGCGTAATATCGATATCGTTTTGTTTGTTTTCCGCGGACAGGTCAAGGGCGACGGTTTTCCTTCAACTCGTGGAGCGGTCGGCCCACGGAAACGACGGTTGTGCCGTCGCAGAGGAGACGTCAGACCGTCCAGGAGTCGAACATTCTCGTCCCTCCGACGCTGATGCCCACTTTCATGATACCGCATTTCGAGCCTAGAACCCGCAAGTTATCGGTAAACACATAACATAATCATCAGTGGCGTAGCTAGGATTTTCTGAAGGGGGGTGTTAATTATAATTATTAAATATTATATATAATACGTACAAACTAAAACTTTTATTTTAATTAATTAATATGTATACATAATGTCTGTAATAGAGATGTAATGTATATTCGAATTCGGATAGCTTAACCATAAATCATTCGAATATATGACTATTCGAATATCAGTATTCGATGCTACAATACCTATTATTATTAAATGTTTTGTGTTGCACGAAAACGTAAGCGAATAATTTTCGTCGCGTATTGTCGCAATCGCGATAATGTTAACCTGTATATATGTAATTAGTATTGTGCATTATTTTATATTTCATATTGTATTATCGATTTACCTATATTCCTATAATAATGTAATATATGATACGGCTCTAGGGGGGTGTCATATCTACCATACACCCCCCTTGTATAAGCCACTGATAATAATAGGGATTTTTCACCGGCCGCACGCCACTCTACTCTACACGCACGCTACTCCGGTAACACGTTCTCGACCGAAAATAATCTCTATCGTATCAATCACGACACCAATTATTAGACACATATTTATAGTCTTTACTTTTAACCTGATGTTTGTTTACGCCGTGATTTTATCCACCAGACACTATACCCGTGCCTAGTACGTGTTCGTAATTAATTAATCGCACTTTCAAGTGAACGGCCGTTATAGTTCGTAAAAGCAACTTTAACAAATTTAAAACGTGTCTCATAGAGGTTAGTACTACAAATCGAAAACCACCGACTTCAATGCTTTAACACGTACTTGACACTCGAAATAATATTTCTATACGCGTTCAATACGTACACATCAATATAATCTTATATTTGCTTGCAAGTAGTCTGTATTATGTCGGAAATGCTTTATTAATATATTTTTCCCCTCTATTCTTCACTTCTAAGAGCCGAAAATTCGGTAAACGCGATCGTGAATATATTAGTCTACAAAGATCCACTCGCTACATTGCTTTCCGAATCCGTAGTGCCCAGTCATTGATCGCGCCGTATGCCAACCCTATCGCCATGACGAAACGAAAATCTCTTAACCTAACCACGTGCACCAATTACATTGATTCACTGACTCGGCCCGCAGGTCACCCGGCGGGACAGCGTGCGGAGCTCTGGTTCGCAGAGACCTGTGACGGACATCGTCTCGGACGCGGGTCAACAGCAGCAGCAGTCGTCGTCTTCGCACCAGCACCAGCAGCAGCCGATCAGATGCGATCCGGACGCGGCGGTCGGTTCGTCGTCGGCCGGCACGAGCGGTCAACCGGTCAGAAACGGATGCGGCTCGCTGCTGACCGTGTCCGCGGCCAACCCGAACGCGCTGGCCCCGCCGCCGCCGTCACCATCGACGAACACCGCCTCGTTGTCCCGGTCGTACGTGACGCTGGCCATACCGGAAGAGGAGTGCGCGGCCGACGTGCCGCTGCTCAGGTCGCGGTTCCCGGTCGGACGGCCCGAGGACGCGATCCAGTCCGGATGCGGCGCTAGCAACACGCTGGACGTGCGGATCGACAAGAGGAAGACGATAGCCGACGAGAGCCTGTTCGCGACGCGATAACCGTAGTCGCCCATCGCCCGTCGATCGTTACCGTAACGATTATTATTATTATTATTATGAGTATTGTTGTTTTTGTTGTTGTTGTTAATATTGTTGTTGTTTTTTTTTTTTTTTTTATGCTGTTGTTGTTGCGATATTCGCACCGCGTCCCTTTCGCGCGACACCCGTCGTCCACGTCAGCGTCGATAATATCCCTTTGCATCCAGCCCATCGAAATTTCAGATGTTCGCGGATGAATCACGGGTTCTCCCTTCGTTCCGTCGTACGTTCGCCTCGAATTCCGTACCGCTTGTGAAACCCTAATAATTTTATAACGTTCGTCGGGCTCGTGATGGCTTTCGAAAACATCGACCATAGCAGATAACTCCTTTCCGTAACGAGGTCAACGGATCGTGGGTATCTAGGGGTTACTACTAAATGGTTAAGCTGCACAAGTCAACCAGTCTACTTAACTGAATAAAGCGGTGCCTGATAAGAATTTCTATGTTTGAGGTGAGAGCACCCTAAGAGTACGACCACTGTCGTATTGAAACAGATACCTGTTCCGTCGTGGGCACCTGTTCAAGCTTTGATACGATCCGTTTCTTTTTCCTGGTGATATTTCGTACCCTTGGTTTGTGAGGGTTTTTCTCACTCTACGACACTATATCTAGCAATCAAAATCTTTCAGCGGTGACGTAATCGTAACAAATTATGCGTAGTCCATTCGGTTGTTAGCACAAGGTCGAGTTACGCGACTATTTTTCCGAAACCAATCCTCCTTTTCCCAACTCGACCTTCTTCCTCCGGCTATCCTATACGAATTCGAAAAACTACTGAAACTCGCCAACAAACTCGGTCGAATCTCTTACTTGATTTATGAATACCAACGTTTGTGATATACTGTTTTACTTCATCTATAGTCACGCATACATTCAGATCTCCGGTCGAGCGTCAAATACAGATTTTTCGTCCCCTCCCATACCCGCGAACCTGAAAATTATTACAATTAAATCCATTCAACTATAACGCTTTTAAAAGTATACATCAAAAGCGTGTGATAATGTATAGTGAATGTATTGAACGATTAATGATATTGTTTGCGAATTCGGCCTTGGAGTAGGTCGAAGTAGGTAATCTCACATGTTTCGACGCAGGTACAGTCATCGTACCGATATATTAGTGTACACTAATGTATTACGAAATCTTATAGTTTCGATTTACATACGCCTTGTAAATTAATTGTATGTTCAATATCTGATGAACATACATAAATGAACAATATCTGATCCGAGCCTATGAACGTACGACGTACGTATTTGGCATTCGTTTACGGTTGCGCAAGTGAGCCCGTATTCGCGGCGCCCGTGATTTATTTTATTACCCGCGGTAGTAAATGAATTTCTACCAATGATCGACCGCAATCAGCGTATTTACTGTAAATTTCGTTGTAGGTCGTAATATGTTGATTTTACGTGTGGTCAAAAAATATGAAATCACCTCGCCGCGACCCGAGGTATATTTCGCCGTGTGCGTGTGTTTGTACATTAAACTAGTCTTAAATGTTTAAATGCGTGGGAGCAACGTATAAATATCTTAACATATCGATAAACGTTTTCATCAATTTACGTGACGCCCGAACTCGCAACACGGTTTTTTATTGTAATTCGACATTTGTAAATAATTCTCTTCTGAACACAATTCACTCGTTTGATTTATTTATTTTTTTTACGACAAGACAATAATATAATAGGTTGGTTTTTTGAAACCACATGTGAATGTAATGCGATCATCAATATATAGAATCCATAGATGTCCCGAAATCTACAGTTCGAACACCATTTTAAACTATTTTTGAATACCGGTAAAATAATATAACAATAATATTTAACGCCACTTCCTCGACTTGCACCAACGGACACGTTTGTGGTTAGAAATCAAAAAATCTGCACTATATTATTAATCAGTCGGTACGAAACTATCAATTCACTGTTAATATTTTCTATCTATATGTTCTATACGTGTATCTAATTATTAAGTTGAAAATATAATAAATATACACTTGTTTGAGAATAGGTACAAAAAGATAACATTTATAACATTTATTGTGTCATAATATGTACAAAGTGAGAAAGTTCGAAAAACTATGAAATTCTTAACAACTACCTGTTTAGTCTGTTTATGTTTACTTTGTAACATATTATCTTAATATTAAGCTTTTTTCTAAACAATTTTCGAAAATCGTTAAATATTGATATTAGTGTTAATCGCTTAACTGATGTTAAATAAAAATAAAGTTGTTGTATGTCTTAAAATAGTAGTACTTAAGTCGAAAAATCTAAAAACCATTAACTACAATATTAACATGTAGATTACAATATGTGATTCATATCATTTCAACAACAACAATTTTTAAAGAAGAATTTTAGTTCCTATACCGTGGATTTAGAACCAAATATATTTCTTTTTTAGTTTAAAATAATTATTTTAAGACTTTCATTAAATAAAACTCAATATAGCAGTATAACAATAAAAAGATTTTTCCCTTTTTTTTTTAAATATGTATCTATTTATTATTTGTAATGAACTTTAAATTAAATCCTTTTGATTTTAAGATCACATAATATTTTGTTCAGCATAATTTCAAGATTAAAATTATAATATTATCACAGATTCAACATTTATGATTAACTAATGATCCGTTCAAAAACATGTAATAGGTTCGTTCGATTTTAAATGACAAAAAAAAAATTAATCATATATATTTTTAAAGATATTTATTTTATATTTTAATAAAAATCATTACCACAAAATGGAAAACATTTGAATTAAAATTACCATAATATGTAACTTAAATGTGTATTTATATAATATATATATATATATAAATATATGAGTAAAATTTAGCACTTGAAATATTAATCATGTGAATAATAAATGTTTAAACCAGACATCGTAATAAAATTTCGTACTACTAGTTGTTTTGACTTCGAGAAGAATGCTATGGGTGCATAAACAGCACGAACATACTGTTAGAAATAAATAAGTGTGTTTGTCGAACCGATTAAAATTAAAATAGACCTCGGAATAGACTATATCCAAATAATAATATAGCAAAATCGATGTAATATATCGTGTTAATCCTAGAGTCATATGAGTGCTTAGCGTTTCTTCTTTCCGTTGATCCTGCTGTAGTTTAGTTTGATCCACGTATAACAATAACATTTATAACATACACGTTTCATGTATTTACACATAAATTCGATAATTCAAACTTACCTCCGTAATATTATTTTAACCTTACCACGTGTGAATAATTTAGTTTATTCTATAATGAAAATAATAACTTTTGTTGAGGTTTTTTTTTTTTTAGTTATTTAATAATAATATTCAATGTTTATTAAGTTTTACCTATCTAGTAAAAGTTGCTACGTCGAGTCTGTGATAAAGTCAAATTGTATAGAATCTATCACTTTATAATTGTATGTATCCAATAATATTATATTATCATAAAGTTATATTAATAGTATAATATGATAATAGAAATTATTATGTGTATTTGATTTTGTATTGAGCTAATGTTTTTTTTTTCTAGAAAATGTAAAATATCGTCCGAATATTATATGAATAATTAATATCTATGAAAAAAAAAATGTTGTTTAGTTTTTTATTATCATACTATTATTTAGTCTTTAGATGTTTTTTTTAGTGATTTTCTATAAGACTGCCTATTTCTTAAGTGTATAACTTTTAACTAGCATCTAATTGATTATTAAAATATTATTCCCCACGCTTATTATATTATACATTAATATTAATAGAATGGTACCTACCGAATAAACCGATAAATCGTACAAACCGTATTCTACTTTCTATCTATCTCTTTAAATCTCTATTTATATTCAGAAAAAAATCTGTGATCATAACTGTTGTTAATTTTATGTAATTTAATTATTAACAGATAGAACATCTGTGAACACTTAAATTAATATACAATATACATACACATGTATGGATGTCATATTTTTCATATTTTTATCGTAGAACACTATAATACACTTTATGCTTCACCAGAAAATTATTAAAATATCGTGGACATACAATTGACATTACAAAAATGGAGAATTACCTCCTATCCAATGAATAAAACATTATTAGAATAAACAAAAGATAACATTCTTATTAATTATTAAACTTTTTCACAAAATAAACTTTTTAGCATTATTTTTTCTTTTTTATTGTTATCATTCTTCATTTCAGATTTTCTCTTGATCGTTTGATCTAGAAAATATAAACCTAACTAACAGATACTAATTCTCATGAATATATCTGATAAGAAAATCGTTAAAAATGTTAAAATTAAAACTATTCAAAATAAGGTTGATTTTTATCGTAAATCGTGAACATTCAAAGTGCATTAATATGGTATTTCCTGCCTTTTCAAATATACATTTAAAAATCAGAGTATCAAACTTGAATGGAGTAAATGGAAAAAAATATGTGTAGAGAAAATGTTCAATAATGTCGTTATAAATGTAATACCTTTATAAAAAAATAATTTTTTTTTTTTAGCATTTATTAGAATACTAGCTGACCCGACAAACGTTGTTTTGTCATATAAATTATTTCTAGAAAATATTTTGCTAGAAAAAAATAACTAATTAAATATAGGCATGTAAGAATGTGGGTAAGGATAAGGATGTAAGGAAGAGATATGGAGTACTATGAATGGTGACGAAATATAAAAATGAAAAAACATCAAACATTTATTTTTTTAATAATTTATTAAAATTATGTATATCGCTAATTATGACAATATTAGTAAAAAACAATATCTGTCCCTTAATGCAACAGAGTGTACAATAGTTTTTGTTATCCCATCTTTCGCCAACACAAACTGGATGGTTCGAGAGCACACCACGTATAATTTTCCGTGTGAAAAATATGATGTGCTCAAATCTAAGCTACAGACATCGTTTGGCTTTGAAACTTATTGATAGTCATTGCAAATGCCAATCTAATTGAAAATTTAAGGCGTTTAAATTATATTGGCACATCTATGGGTATAATAGAGATTCGCGGTAATAATATATTTTCACCTCGGAATTTGCCATTTAAAGGTTATGGCTTCGATAACATTTTCCATTCATTTTTTAACGACTTATCGCGTGCCGCTGTACAACCGTGGTAGGTCAAATTATGAAGCAAAATAACCGGAGAACAAACCTTCAATTGTAAATTATGCGATGGCATGCCTGGTAAGTCCAATGAGTTTAAAAACTCTGTTAGATAATTTACAGCTTCAGTAGCATAGCAAACTATATCTATAGATTTGTATGACACCATGTCTCCTGGTAACAAATGTTTATCTTGAGATTCAATTCGTTGACGTCCACATTTTTTACTACTGAAATTGCCCTTTCTGCCAGCCACTCATGATTTGTGTATTGTCTGTGTACATTGGAAAATATCTAGTCAATGAGAGCATCTTTATTTTGCGAATAAATGATTGTGCAGAAATCGGTCGGTAATTTTATACATTCCGTTTCATCTGTAGTAACTTTCCCATCTCCAATGTCTAACAATTGTTCTGAGAATCTTCTGCACGCAGCTTTTTTTGATTGAATCGCAAGTATCAAAATCGTTCACTCTCTATCTTTACATACATTTCGACCATGAATTGTTGAAAAAGCTCACGACATCGTAGAATAGCGTTGTCCTGATCGCGTCTAATCTCAACCGATAGATATGCATAATAATCCTTCGAACTAACATTCTTGTTAATTTTGGCACCAGTCGCAGGATCTTGTTGTTTAATATTTATGCAATACCCGTCATTTACTACCAAAAATAAAATTAATAGTTTTTAAATAGTTTTTTTTATAGTTTTTTAATAGTTTTATTTAATAATTCATTTTCAATTGTGCAGTTATCGACCGGGTCAAAAATTATTAAATTAAACTATGATTTATTAAACAATAGCACTTTTCCAAAAAAAATTTTCGTAAAAACCTTCTCCTGACAATTACGAACAATTAAAAAAATTTGAGCTAAATCGGCCCGTTCTCAATTGATGAAATGTTATACATTTTTGGCACCATTTATATATATATATATATAGATAACTAATGACTAATTATTTATTAACTAAATCAGACTAATTTTTTGCCTTAAACCTTCTCTGTGATGTCCTCTTTAATTTAAAAAAAATTGCACGACGATTGAATAAGTAGTTCCGGAGTTTATCCCGAACAAAAAAAAAGCGACTTCATTTTATATAGTAGTATATAGATATACAATCTGTAATAATATTTACAATAAGCATATGAGTGGTTAGATATTTTATAAGATATGAGAGTATGAAGAGAGAAGCTACCCAGCAGTACACTCAGACGTGAATAGGGATTTGTTAGACTATATATCTACATATAAAAGTTTTTTTTTTTATTAATTTTTTTTTTACAGAGACAAGTCACGACACCAGGCCGCTTTAGCCTTCTCGGTGGGCTTCCAGGAATATTTATTGAGTTGAGAGAAAGGATAAGTAGATTCGGATAATTAGCGAGGCGAAAGCGGAAACGCTTGTAAAAGGACGTGGCCGTTTCGGTGACAGTCTGAATATTAAGATCAGAATGTAGTGTATGATTAGTTACGTAGAAGGGCGCATTAGTTATTATTCGGAGTGATATGGATTGAAACCTGAATTTTGTTGATGTTTGATTTTTTTGCCGCTCCCCATAATTGAATACCGTAGGTCCAAATAGGCTTGAGGAGGGTTTTGTAAATTAATAATTTATTTTTAAATTAACCTTGGACTGTTTACCTAAAAGAGGATATAAAGACTTTCTTCTTAAATTTAAAAGGAGGCGTTTTTGTTTGATATTCAAGCGTTTATTGAGGATCAATCCTAGATACTTGACACTAGTAACAGTTGGAATAACTTTATTAGATAGATAAAGAGGGGGGATAATACCTTTCTTAAGAGTAAAAATTATATGTGAAGATTTTTCATTATTTATCTTAACTTTCCATTTGGAATACCATTCTTCCATTTGATTAAGTTAATTTTGTAATTGATTTCTAATGACAAGAGGGTTGACATTAGACGAATAAATTACTTTATCGTCGGTGAATTCGGCTACTGAGATGAGCGGAGATACCGGTAGGTCTGCGGCATAGATATTATAAAAAATTAGGGATGAGATAGCCCCCTGTGGTACACCAGCCATGAAGGGCGTTAATTCTGAAAACTCGAAGCCTACTTTAGTTATAAAATGACGGTTTTCTAGATATGATTTAAAGAAAAGGTAGAATGGTGAGGAAAGAAATTAATTTAATTTAAACAGAAGTCCTGTGTACCAGACCTTCTCGAAGGCTTGAGCAACGTCTAATAGAACTGCCGAGCAGTAGATTTTGTTTTCCAAAGAATAAGAAATAGAGTCAGTTAAACGATGAATTTGGTGAATGGTGGAGTGCTTGTTTCTGAAACCAAACTGGGTATGGGGAATTACCTTT